ACTAGGTGTGAGCAAGTACTAGGCGTGAGCAGGGAGGGACTACCTCTATGAGCAAGAACAAGGCACGAACGAAAGCGCAAGGGGGAAGGACGAGCAGAAACAAGAAGCACCAACAAACCCTAGCAGGGGTGTATTCACTCTGCCCTAGAAAGCTAACCGAGTACAGGTCAGCACAGTTACTCGCTGTGCCATTCTCCACGTTTAAACAGGTCAGCACATTTACTACTTCAATACAGCAATACAGAACTTATTTTATATAAAACTATATTATTGCTATAGTTCGTAGTATTACACGTTTTAAATATATTCACTTACAAAATCACTTTGCTAGTATGGACTCACAAACTTTCTAGTGCACAGTCCCAGTGAAAAATAAAAAAAAGGATGTGGGGGGGGTGGGGGGAGGGGGAAATGCGAATTTAAATTGTGAGAGAAGAAATGTGGACGTACGCAACCCATCCGACGATTTACGTCGAGCCTTGTTTTTTTTCCAATGGTCTCTCAACCGGCCTCTTTGGTGATGCTTCACGGGGGGAACAGCCCCCAACAATGAAAACCGTTGAAGATACCAGCGTTGAAAATAACGCGGGCCAGTTGTAGCGGGCAAATGCCTGGCACAAAATACGCTACGTCTTGCACTTGGCACATCATACTGTATCCTTCTCTCAATATAGTATGAAGAAGTGACATTGTAATGAAGCGCAACTAGCGTGTGTCGAAGGATTGATTAACGAGGAAACAATACAACAGAGGCAGCATCAAAACAGCAGGGAGCATGGATATAGCTAGCTTAGGAACACACGGTTGAGGCTCGGCAGAGCTGCGACGTGTGGTTCGTAAAATGGCGCGGAGCGCCTTAATCTATGCATGCAACAACAAGGCAGTGTTAGACTATGCTAGGATCTAGGTAGGAACGAAGCCACAGAAATGGCGAGGGGTTTTAGGCTAGGAAAGTTGACGAGAGAAAAGAGAGGGAGAATAGAAGAGAGGGATACAAGGAGGGGTGTTGTACCCTCTACAGTAGGTTTCAGTAACGCCTACCAAGCCTACAATTATATAACATACACTGACGGAAAGAATTGTCCACATGTTTGGCAATTTTTTGAATTTCCACCGTTAAAGGGCATTTGAACATTAAGCCTTAATTGGAGGCATTACCCACTATATGCAGGCTAATCTAGGGAGACATTAAAATGCTACACATTTGATGAAACTACTATCGTTAACAGTAAACAGCAAACATAACCAAACACGGTGCATGTGGACAATTATTTCCAGGCGGAAGCAGCAACTTGAAAAACCCTTAAACTAGTACCTGGTCCACCACCCTTTAGCCCTAATCACTGCTTTCACCCTCCTGGGCATGCTGTCGATCAAATTGGAGCACACCTCTGATGGGATCTTCTCCCACTCCTCTTGTACACGCTCCCACAGGTCCACCATACCAGTGGGAGGTGTCTCATGCTTTCCCAGCTCCCTTTTAAGATGAGCCCACAGATGCTCAATGGGGTTCAGATCAGGACTTCCTGCCGGCCACTCCAGGACCCCATACTCCTGCTCCTGAAGCCACTGCTGCACCACACGGGACTTATGCTTGGGGTCGTTATCATGCTGGAAGATCACAGCCGAGGGGGTTAGCTTGTAAAAGTCGATGGTTTTTTTCAGCTCGTCTTGCAAAATGCTCAGATACAGCGGCCCGTCCATCCGACCATCGATTTTGCACATGAAACCCGCCCCCTCAAACGTCATACATCCCCAGATCATCAAGCCGCCGCCCCCGTGTTTGACGGTTTGCTTGATATGGTGGTGTTGGAGAGTCGTACCTTCACGAACCCAGGCGTACGCGCGGCCGTCAGAGCCGAACCTACTAATCCTCGTCTCATCCGACCATATGACCCGTCGCCAATCATCTATGGTCCAATCCGCGTGGGCCCGTGCGAACGCCAGCCTATCGCGGATATTTTTCTTGGTGAGTCGCGGCTTCTTAGGCTGCTGAACTGCGATAAGGCCGCTGGATTTGAGCGCATTACGCACCGTCCTAGGATGCACCGTGATGCCGTGCTGGGATTCGACGATTTGGGCCGCATGCCTCGAGGTTTTCGCCTCGCCGCTAGTGATCGCCCTGACGATCCCACGACGAATTCTACTCGACAGTACGCGTGGACGACCAGCAGTGGGCATTGTAGGACGTACGTCCTCGGGACTAGTCTCTGAAATCGCCTTGAGCCCAACATCATGCACTGTACTTTTCCCAACGCCAACCTGTTTCGCGATTTTCCTCGTGCTGAACCCCCTACGCAACAGGGCCACGATCCGGGCGCGACGAGCCTCATCTATCGGTCTCATCTTGGCGTAGTCTACGCCTCGGGTATAAACTTTATTCTGACTACTCGACGATTGCGTTAGGAACTATGGAGAGAATGCTCTAGTCGAAAACGGATCTAGTCCGCTGCTTGGCCAAAACTGTCCGGATGCACTCACGCGACTGAAATCTTGGCCACGCTATTAGTGCGACCCATTCAGGTTGCAAACGTGTTACCCTATTGTAACTGGCACGCGTAACTTATTAGTCAGCAATGAACATTCAATGATACATCGGGTGAAAGCATTCAAATCATGTGTTGAACCTAAAATTGGACTTTATCCGGGCAATACTTTCCGTCGCTGTATATAAGTTAACACACCCCCTCGGCTTGGTCGTAGAAGAACCCACACACACCCACACCCCCTAACCTAGCACCCCCATTTCCAGCAGCAGCCGCGATGACTCCAGAATCGGACAACACCCACGGCCCGGGAGATGGCAATGGCGGCAGGCACAGCAGTGACGATAGCAACGGCAGCGGTGTGCGGCGGCAACTGGCCAGCGGCAACAGCGGCAGCGGCGGCGGCTTCAACGTCAGAGGCTGCTGCAGCGGCCCCCGCCCTCTCGGCGGCATGGCCAATCTCATAACGGCTATGGGAAGGCCCTCACGAGGCAGTCGACGGCTGTGGCAAGGAAGAGGGAACGCAGGGGAAGGAGGGGTTGGGGGGGGGGGGGGGGGAGGCGGGGCGAATCTTCAGCGAGGCACCATGGCTGGCGCGACGCTTACTGGCGTGAGGGCGTTACATCTGGCGCCTAGGACAGGGCACTTGCCGCAGCTGTCCGTGCACTGGCGTGGCAAAGCCGCCATGGCAGCACGACGGCACGACGGCACGGCGACCCAATGGCACGGCGGCGCGGCGGCACGGCGGCACTGAGGCACGGCGACGTGACGGGGCTGGCACGGCATGACGGGGCCGGCGCGGAGGGATGGGGCCAGCACGGCGTGACGGGGCCAGCGCGGCGTGACGGCGTGACGTGATTTGTAGAATTCCATGAGATGGTCCCTATAGGTTCGAGATGATAGATGAAGCCGGTGCGAGATCGACGATTAGAAGTATGTGCTGTATGATCAGCATTAATGTACCCGTTGAGATATATAGTTTTTTTAATGGTAACTTGATAGGTAAGTCTGACTTCAGGTGTCGAAATGAAATAATGTAGAGCGCGAAGAAGATCTAGCCAATTCTCCTCCTCAGGTCGACGCAAATATTGCGCGAGCTGGCTAGCGGCATAGGCGAGATCCGGACGACACGTATGGCTGCGAATAGAAGACAACCCAGCTGCTGCTGATAGAGTTGTAGTTCAGTGCTATCAAGTGGAGTGGTATCGAGTATGTAGTCCATAGGTAGAGATCGGTAAGGTGTGGTTACTGTTGAAGGTGTGAGGTTAAAGCGTGCGGCTAGTGTAGCTGTGTAATATGAAGCTGTAAGATGAATAGTAGTTGGTGTGCGGTGAATGTTAAGGCCAAGAAACTGTGTGGCAGTAGGTGTGATAGTGATCTGTAGGTATTGTTGAAGTGTTTGTTTGAAGGAAGTAGCGAGGGAATCAGTGGTGCTGATGTAGAGTAAATCGTCGACATAAGCGACGAGTAGGATGTAGTCAAGATTGTCGATAAGTAAATACATTCCTTGGTCGTGCGGGAGTTGACAAAACCCGGCAGTTAGTAACTGACTGTGTAAATACTGCTGCCATAGGCATGGAGCCTGTTTAATGCTGTAGAGATGCTTTCAGAGACGGCAGACGTTGGGAGGGTTAGTTTCGTAAGAATACGGGTACTCAACCAAATTTAATGCGTCAACAGGTGCATGTAGAAATGCATTGGCGACGTCGATTTGGCGAAGTTTGAAGTTCCGGCAGGCCGCGACGCAGAGTAGGATGCGGAAACTATTGTGTTTGCCAATTGGAGCAAAGGTTAACTCGTAGTCGAGTCCAAAGGTATGCTCGAAACCGCAGACAACCCATCGCGCCTTGGATTTTTCAAAGGAACCATCAGCGTTCGTCTTCACATGAAAAAACCATTTGCCGGTAAGTACCTTACTCCCCTTTGTTTCCTTCAGTGGGATTAGATCTCAGGTACCTCGCTTTTCCAGAGCTGCTAACTCCCGGTCCATGGCTTCTAGCCATTTTTCCCTGTGTGAACTTGTCAAAGCTTGGCGAACTGTTTTTGGCTTCGGAATCTTACTGATGTTCGACTGTACTACGATTGCGAGTCATAGTACCTGTAACCCATTTTCTATCAAATGAGGACGATTTGAGTTGACACCGGAGAAATTGTGTTCTGACCTCTGTTCCCCCCCAATTTCTTCAGGTGTCACACGGATAGCGGTTCGGAAACAACGGGCATGGGCTGCTGCTTGCGATCATGTTCATAATCAAGAAGAACATCCCTGACATCTTCAGAGTCTGCTTCGCTGAGGGGAATAAATTCAGCAGTTCCAGCTGCCGTGGCTGGTACGGGGATTTCTATGGCTACTTCGGAAGACTCGGTAACCAATTCATCTTGTACAGCTGCCTCAGCTTCATCGGTAGCGAAAGCACGCGAGCCTTCGAACAGCCTGGCTGTCACAGGATCGAATGGGTCGAGGAAAGGTTGCACTATCGATCAGTACAAGGCGCTTTTATACTTCCAAAGTACATCAGGTAACCAGGTTTATCTTATCCTAAGGGAACAGACCCTTCTAGAAAATAGAATCACCTTGCGTATAGCCACGCGAGGCTATTGGCTTTAAGGGATTACGGCAGGATTACGCTAGATATAGCGCACCAGTACATTCCGAGCCTGGTCGGTGATATAATGATCATAATAGGATAAACCAAAGGTTTATGGAAAAGGAGAAATAGAAATCCAAATGGAATGAGATAAAAACCAAATGGATCAAGATGGAAAGAGGAATGAAATGGAAAGAAGAAAGGAATGGAACGGGGTCGTACTCTCACACTTCCCCCCCTCAAAGCTGGGTGGTAGACGTAATACCCTGCTTGACAAGGTAGTCGCGAAGAGGACGACGAGTGTGATCCATCTCGGATTCAGAGATCCAACTATCCTCTGAAGGATCATAACCCTTCCAACGGATGAGAAGCTCCACGGTGCCATTCCGTCGACAGCGTTGAGCAAGCATGGACTCGACCTCGTACTCGGGTTCATCATGGACGAGGACGGGCGGCGGTGGCGGCGGTTGGCGTCCAGAGAAGACCGTGTTGGGATCTCGGTAGGGCTTCAAGAGTTGAACATGGAAGGCGTTGTGAATCTTCCAGGTAGCTGGCAGGCGTAAGCGGAAGGTAACAGGAGTGACCTGTGCTTCAACGAGAAAAGGTCCGCAGAAGCGAGGTCGCAGTTTGGATGGGAGATGGCTGATGTCAAGATTGCGTGTATCGAGTAGTACTCGGTCTCCCACGGTGATGGTGTGTTCTGTGCGGTGGCGATCGGCTTGGCGCTTCTGTTGTTGCTGTATGTCGAGAAGGCGCTTGTGGGTCCGATCCCAAAGTTTGTGCATGGTCGTGATGAAATCATGAGCGGGTTGGACTGTGGCTGGTATGGTTGGTTGTTGAGGTGTGAGTGGGTGGCGTCCGTAACAGAGGAGGAACGGCGTCTGTCCAGTAGCGGCGTGGGTAGCATTGTTGTAGGCAAACTCCAGGACGGGCAGATGCAAGTCCCATTTGGAGATGTCGTCCTTGCAGGCTGCGCAGAGGAGTTGCGTCACAATTTGGTTGAGGCGCTCGGTCTGTCCATCTGTCTGCGGATGGTATGCGGATGACATGGCGAGTTTGGTTCCGAGCAGAGACATCAGTTCTTTCCAGAATTTACCGGTGAACTTAGGGTCTCGGTCGGAGATGAGTGTGGTCGGAATGCCATGTTGTGAGATGATGTAGCGAACGAAGAGTTGTGCTGTCTCCTCGGTGCGTGCTGTCGTGTGTGTCGAGATGAAGTGTCCCATTTTGGAGAACTCGTCAATGACGCGACAACGAGGATCGCGTCATGTCCGCTCGTGGTAGTTGGTAGCCCGGTGATGAAGTCTAGGCTTACCATTTGCCATGGCTGTTCTGGGACAGGAAGAGGCTGTAGCAGACCCGCCGTTTTCTGCTTGCTGCTCTTCATCCGCTGACATATAGTGCACGAGGTGACGAATTTCTGTACGTCATCTGTCATGTGGGGCCAGTAGTAGTGTTTGGCGATACCGGTGAGCGTCTTGTTGCTACCGAAGTGTCCTGCATGCAGGACGTCGTGGTATTCTTCTAGTAGTAACTGGCGCAATGGAGGGTAATTAGGTACCCAGATCTTCATTGATCCTTTCCGGTACGCGATGTCGTTGTCCCACTGCAGATGTCGCTTTTCTGCCAAGGGTATTTCGGGGTCGATGGTGTACCCGTGTGTGAAGAGTCCCTTGAGGAGTGGATTCATCCCTTCAACTTGGATGGCGGCAACGTGTGCAGGCCGGCTAAGCGTGTCTGCTTTGTTTTTGTGGCCGGGCTTGTACACAATGTCGTAGTGGAAGTGTGTCTCGAGGAAGTCAATCCACCGGACCTGCCCCCTGGAGAGGCTTGGTTGCGTCTTCAAATATTTTAGGCTGCAATGGTCGGTGTAGACTGTCGTCTTGCGTCCTTCGAGATAGCATCTCCACGTTTTGAAGGCAATGATGATAGCCAGGGCCTCCTTGTCATGTATCGGGTAGTTGAGTTCTGCTCCGTGTAGTTTCTTGCTGAGGTAGACGATTGGTTGCAGTCCATTCCCCTGGTCTTGCATCAAGACTGCTCCCACTGCCTGGTCGCTGGCGTTAGCTTCGATGACGTAGTCGCGTTCGGGGTCTGGCAAGATGAGTACGGGTGCGGACGTGAGTGCTTGTTTCAGCAGCTCCATGGCTTCCTGGTGTTGTGGCTCCCATTTATAGGGCGTGTTCTTCTTTAGCAGATTCGTGAGTGGCATGGAGATCTTCGCGAATTGTGGCATGAACCTGTTGTAGTAGTTAGCAAAGCCAAGGAACTGTTGTAACTCCTTCACGTTCTCGGGTGTCTTCCACGTACGCACGGCTTCGATTTTCTTGGGGTCGACGTGAACTCCTTGAGCGCTTACGATGTGTCCGAGGAATTGGACCTTCTTGAGGGCGAAGTCGCTCTTGGATAGTTTGACGTAGAAGCGTTCTCGTCGAAGAATTTCGAAGACGCGTCGTAGGTGCTCGACGTGTTGTTGCATGTTGCGCGAGTAGATGAGGATGTCGTCCAGGTACACCACCACGCATTCGTCCAAGAGTGGGTGTAGGATATGATTCATGTCTGCTTGGAATGTTGCAGGTGCGTTGGTGAGTCCGAACGGCATGACCAAATACTCGTACGATCCGTACCGAGTTCGGAAGGCAGTTTTCTGAATGGAATCGTCCGCCATTCTTATCTGCCAGTATCCGGACCGCAGATCTAGTTTTGAAAGTACCGTAGCTCCCCGAAGCTGGTCAAGCATGTCATCGATTCGTGGTATCAGATATTTGTTCTTGATGGTCTGCTTGTTGAGAGTTCGGTAGTCGATGCACATGCGCAGGCTTCCGTCCGGTTTCGGTGCGAAGAGTACAGGGGCACCGTATGGCGAAATGGATGGTCGGATGAGTCCTTTGGCGAGGATATACTCGATCTGCTTCTTCATGTCGGCTAGTTCTATGGGGCTTAGCCAATATGGTGCTCGGAAGGTCGGTTTCGAACCTGGTTCCTCCACGATCTCGTGTTGGTGCGTTCGGTATGGCGGTAGTTCGTCCGGGAGGTCGTCGGGAAGAATGTCTTGGAACTCCTTCAGTAAGTCCTTGATTTTTTCTGGAGGTTCCGAGACTTTCTCTCCATCATTCTCCACTTCTGTTGCTATCGCCAGGAACCCGGTGTCGGTTCGCTTCACGTCCTTCTCGAATCTGGCGAGTGTCTCCACTGGGATATCTCCTGTATCGTCCCAGTTGGGTAGCTGGACTCTCCTTCCTTTGTTGTAGATGCTTGCGGTGCATTTTACCCAGTTGATCTCGGGGTTGAATTTCTTGAGGAAGTCTCGCCCAAAGATCAGGTCAAGCCCTTTTATGTTGGTGATGGGGAGAGCAGGTTTCCAATGCAGTGGACCGATTTGTAGGTGTAGCACTGCTTCGCCGTACACTGGTAACTTGCTGCCGTCCACCATCGTTGCAGAAAACGCTGATGGCTTGTACTCTTCTCGAAGTCGGTCGATGGTTGCCTTGTCGCATACAGTCTGTGATGCTCCGCTGTCCACGAGTGCTTGGAGGCGTCGTCCTTTGCAAATGACCTCGAGCACGAGGGGCTGGCGTTGCTCGGAGTAACCAAAGATAGTTTCATTGATTGGGTCATAGGGTACATCCCAATATTCGTTGCTTCCTACTCCTGAGCTGGCAGCTAGCCGAGGCTGCTTGGAGAAAGGCTCTTCTCCTGGGCCCGGAGTTTCCATGACGACTGTTCGTGTCGTTGATGAAGTTTCTGAGTTGGATGCATCCGAAGAAGATGGAGTTCGGGGCTTTTGCAGCTTCTTGTAGACCCCCAGCTTCCTTTTGAGCTGCTTCAGCTCCATCGACGTCTTCCCTGGGGAACGGGTAGTCGTTGTGGGCTGGTGTCGGGAGAGGACGTTGACTCCGTGGAAAGGTCGGCTTCTTTCCACACTCCTTAATTTGGTCCCCAAGTTCTCCGGTACCGGTACGATCTCCACAATTTTCTGCTTCTTCTGGAGTCCCTCCCGAAATTTTTCCAAGGCTCTAGCCCCTTTAGAATTACAAGTTTTCATTAAAGCATCTTTGTAAGATAACTTTAACGAGTCCTTATAATTTCTTGGGTCTTCAAGGAGTTTCCTCGTCTTGGCAGAGTCCTTTTTCGCGGAGTTAGATTTTTCCTCGGCGATTTCCTCTGGCAAAGTCTGGTCGTGGGGTGGAGATTTGTCCCCATCATTTTCTCCTGTTCGCGTCGAATCAGCTGCGTCGAAGTTGATATTTCCGGAAGTCCGCGGCCGCTTTCGGATCTTTTCTTTTTCGCCAGCTAGATCCGCGATTACTGGTGAGCTCCATTTTTTTGCTTCTGATTGGCCGAAGGATTTCCGCCACTGTTGTGTGCCCGATACTCAGCGCGTGCGGCTTTCATTTTGATGCAGTCGAAGATTCGATGACCCGGCACCCCGCAAAAATCACACGTGTGGTTGGTGTTTTTCGGACGTGGCCGCCCTTCGAACCTGTCGACTTCCATTGGGTCAGCAAACGTGGTGTGAGCCGAGCGGTCGCCTTGTCGCGTACTGCCAACGTGCGTCCGTCGTGTCCCGGCGTTGACCATGTCGAAGCATTCCGCGGCCAATACGACGTCACTGTAGCTCGCGTAATTTGTCTCTGCCACTTGTCGTTTGACTTCGGTCTTCAGCCCGGCGAGGTACGATTGTACTTTTTCCCCTTCGGTCAAGTCGAGAATGCGGTTATAAAATTCCTCGATCTGCTGCGTGTACTGCGCTACACTCCCGAACTGTCGATGGCGATGAATTTTTTTGCGGGCAAGGAAACCCGAATTTATCGGCTCGAAACGTTTCAGCAGGTCGGTGCGGAACTGCTGCCACGTGGCTTCGCCGCGGATGAAGATGCTATTACCGCCGATCCACTCAAGTGCCGGCCCTCGCATCAGTGTCGCCGCGAGTCGTACGCGTTGACCGTCCCAGACTGGCGAGCTCCATCCGACGGCTGCGAAGTAGATCTCCATGCCGGCGATCCATTTGTGGACGTCGGAGTTTCGATCGCTCGGATCGAACGGCTGAGGTGGGCGCGGTTTCGGAGCCTCGAGAAACTGCTGCGATTGCTGCGTCATCACTGTTGTCGTTTCGTGTTGCGCTCTGGCGAGTCGAGTTACTCGCTCGAACTCGTTTCGCCAAACTTCGCGGTCGGCTTGCATCTCCTCCTGTAGGGCTGCGATGCGCGCGAAGAGCTGCTGGGTAACTTCGGCGTTGTCGAAGTTCGCCATCCTGTTCAAAACACGCGCGGAGGGGGTAATTCGAAAAAAAACGCGGAGCTGGTGCTTACCAGAATCGGCGTCGAATTGGTCGCCCCCGGCGGTTTTTCGAGGCAGGATCCCCGCTGCTGCTGCTTAGCTGAGCGCGGCCGAGTGAGAAAAACTCTGATTACCAAGTGTCACAGGATCGAATGTGTCGAGGAAAGGTTGCACTATCGATCAGTACAAGGCGCTTTTATACTTCCAAAGTACATCAGGTAACCAGGTTTATCTTATCCTAAGGGAATAGACCCTTCTAGAAAATAGAATCACCCTGCGTATAGCCACGCGAGGCTATTGGCTTTAAGGGATTACGGCGGGATTACGCTAGATATAGCGCACCAGCACATTCCGAGCCTGGTCGGTGATATAACGATAATAATAGGTTAAACCAAAGGTTTATGGAAATGGAGAATTAGAAATCCAAATGGAAAGAGATAAAAACCAAATGGATCAAGATGGAAAGAGGAATGAAATGGAAAGGAGAAAGGAATGGAACGGGGTCGTACTCTCACACTGGCAGGGTTGGCGGCTGCTGCCTGGTGAGCATGAAAATCAGGTAAGGTGAGTCGTTTGTAGAAAAGACAATCACGTGCTGGTACGATTTGACTCGTGCGAAGATCCATAATTTTCCATGCGTAAAACTGCTTCTCGATGCCAAGATGAATTCCCCACTTAGCCCTTCCCGAAAAGAATTTGAGTGCTGCAGTCGGAGGTCGGTATTGGACGATACACCCAAAAACTCTTAAAAGTTTTGTATTGCCAGCTGTCTTTGTCCACTGCAGGTGTGGCGAAGAAAATTGTGCAAGAGATGTTGTGGACAGCAAGTTGTGCAGAAGAACTGTATGGTCCAGAGCTTATGTCCAAAATGCGGTAAAAGTTCTGCCTGAGACAGCAAGACTCGCATCTTTTCCCATAACATTTTGTTCATCCGCTCCGCTATCCCCATCTGTTGGTGTTAATGTGGCAGAGACCCTCGGCATTTGATGCCTAGGGTTTGAAGGTACTCAGTGAATGTTGTGTTCGTATACTCCCATGCGCTGTCACTCTGAAATCCTTGAAGCTTTTCCTTCGACTCTCTCTCAGCCACCGCGAGCCATGCGACGAAGATAGAGTGAGCCATATGGCGAGCTGGAATGTTGGCAGTCCAAACGTAGCTAGTAGAAGCTTCGATAAAGGGGATCATATAGATCTCCTCCTTAGGTCCTGCTTCAGGTAAGTTGAGTATGTCGATGCAGACTTTTTGCATAAGTGTGTAGTGAGTCGATCCTGGAAAATGACTTGGAAAAGGTTCATGAGGAAGATTAGCAGTGGTGCACGTCGTGCAGACTGTTGGTCGAGAAGACGGCTTCAGCTCTGTTCCATCGGGTAAGAGTAAACTATTCTTGTCAAGAAATGATGCCTTTATAGAATGATTAAGTATGCCTTGAGACGGATGACCTAACCGTTGATGCCATATATCCTCTGTTGCTTTGTGTCCTGTTGATCGCAGATAAAAATCGGCGTTAGTATAAAAAGAAGAAATGATGAAAGGAGAAAGCGCTGGAGATTCGTCGAGTTGGCCAGGAACGAAGCGAGTAAGAGGTAACTTAGTAATTTGAACCTCCACGTTGGGATTTTTTTCTGGTTTCACAGTAAACTCTCCTTCAATTTCCGTTTCTGTTGTTTCTGCTGTAGGTTGACTGATGAGACCCCCTGTTTTTGCTTCATTGCTACTCTGCTGCTCAGCTGCTTCTGCTTCACTGCTACTACTGCTTGTCCACCAAGGTTCTTCAAGTTTGTTATTGAGTTGTGCTAGAGAATCATAGTAGTTCCGCCACGCTGATGTATCTTCTTAGGCTATGTTTGTTGGCCAGGAATCAAGAGCTGTTATGTAACTGCAGTTGCATAGAAGTCTACTTCAACTGTTTGATGATCAGTTTCTTCAGGATGTTGCCAAGGTCTAAGAGATAACACTCTTTTGGAATTACCCGAAGTTTCTTGTGTTTCAAATTGAAGAACGGAGATGCCATATTGAGTGGCAGCTCTCCCGATGTAAGTATTGGTATCGTTGTAACACAGTTCCTGGTCCATAGTGTCACAATTGCCTTATGTCCTGATCTTATGTCGCAGGAGTTGAGCCATTGAAAGAAGATTAAAACCAAGTCCAACGATGATGAGGACGTTCGTAACGTGTAAGGAAAAACCGGTGTCAATAGATTCCAGCATGATGTTGCCGATGGATCGTGCCATAATAGTTTGTCCATTTGCAACTGTGACTGGTACGGGACGTCGAAGAGGACGTTGATGAGTGATGAAAAGTGTCTCGGCAGAGCACGTGTGTTGATCACAACAACTGTCCAGATACCAAGTGTTGGATCCTGCAATAATCCGAGCGAGATTAGCGTAAACTTGAGGTAAGACCGTGTTCTCCGATTGTTCAATGGAAAGCATTTCCTCTTCATCGTCGAAATCCGAATCAGTTGCATGGACTGTAGTAACACAACTGAAAACTTGTTTTCCGGATGTGGCAGAAGTTGTTGTTGGTGGATTATGCTTCAAGGTTTGCTTGGACTGCTGCGACAGCTGTTGCGCTCCTCTTTTCTTATCAGCTTGAAGCTTGTTGCAATATTTGATGTTGTGTCCATCTCTTTTGCAGTAGTGACAGAAAAACTTGTTAATGGGTTTTGCAGGCGTTGAATAGAAACCGACATGAACTGCTCTTTTTTACGTGTTGTTTGCAGATCAAGGTCTTGCTGCTCTGCTAGAAGAATCGAACAAATTTCGGCTTCAAAAAGATTTGGTTGAATGCGAAGAAGAAATCGACACTGCCGCCATTCTTCTCCAAGGCCGGCAAGAAGAACTGTTACAAACATGTCCTTTGGGAATTATTCGCCGCATTTTTCCAGTTGATCGCGAAGTGTGCGAGCCCTGTTGCCCTGCATCTGCACAGTTGTCAGTTGTGAGAGAATCTTACTCACGAAAATGGTGTCATGTGCCATATGCAGCCCCTTCAAATGCTTCCACGCAGGTTCGGCTGGAGTCAAGCTGGTATGAAGAGAGCGTATCCCAAGTTGCTCTTTCAGTGACAGGTTTCGAATAATAATTGTATAAGCGCTGAGTGAAGCATGAAGAAAACTTTGCTGCTCCATCTGTGTTCCCATGACAAGATACGAATAATCGCCGTTGAAGAAGGGCCACAATCCAATGGATTTTGCGAGGAGCTCGAACTCGAAACTCCAGGACTAGAATTCAGCGCCATTAAAAGGTATTGTTGTCTTGATCTGCATATTACGTAAAAGATTTGGAGCCTAAAAGATAGGTGCAGTAAAAGAAATCTGCTGCTGCGGAAACTATTGTTGCTGTTGCTGTTGTTGCTAAAACTGTTGCTGCGCTTGTTGCTGCTGTTGCAAAAATTGGAACTATTGGTGTTGAGCAGGTGTAAACGTAAACAAAGAACTGGAGCTTGGAGCAGCTGCAACTCTTGCATAACTGGAGCCATCAAGACTCATACCACTAAAGCCACTGGTACTGATGCTGCTGCTTATTGCGATGAACCTTGTTGCGGTATTCCAGGTGTAGAAGACAAAGTCCTCAATGGATGCACAGCATGCACTCCTTGCTGATGTTGAGGCATCCCAATTGAAGCATATGCAGGTGGAAGATTTCCAGCTGCAGAATCACCTGCTTGGCCTGTAAAAACTGTAGGATTTGTAACACCAGTGGGTCCTGTTGTTGAGGAACCAGCTGTTGAAGCTGATGATGGTCCAGTCATTTGTAGATTTAACGATAGTCTTAATTCCAGACAGCTCTCATACCATGTAATAATTTAAAAAACGGTGATAGAGACTAAGTAAAGAATCAGAAACCACAAGCACTTGAAGTAGAAAGTAATACTGGAAGTACCCCCAGTAACAGTCAGTATTAACAAGTTGTAACACCAAAATCAGCGTTACAGCCTTGTGATACTTCAAGACTTGAGCAAGGATCTTTGCTGGAATGGTAGACTAGTAAGATAGCGGAAGTCTTAGAACTTGTAAGTGTTGACTAGAATTTACTGAAGAACAAGTTGATAATTGAAGTCATACAAGCTACTCTTATATCTGATAGAGGTGCCCGTTCGGGAATGCACCTGTTCAAAACTACTTGCGCTATGCGCTCTAATCGCTATTGAAAGGGGCGAAACTGTTCGCGTGACTGAAACGGTCTGTTGGCGTAATCACCTAGATGAGTGCTATTTGCTGACGTCAGTCTACGGATGCTAGGTACAGTATAACTCGACAATATCTATCCGAGCTACTTGCAGAAATGCTCAAGTACGATTTTTTCACATCACTTGCTACACCCCCCCAATCCTACAAATGAGTTTTAGGTTCTATTAGAATACTAGAATGAATTGAAACAAGAGAGTACACGGAAGATATAGGGTTGGAGATGTAATCTCTAAGAACACAAGCCAATCTAGCCTATAACTTCTACATATAAACATATGTATAAGTTGACACACCCCCTAGGCTAGATAAGGGGCAGTGCAGGCTGTAAGCTTGTCCGTGCCAGAGGCACGAACGTGAGCGAGGCAGGCCCAGACGTGGAACGTAGACGCGTCACCAGGGAACCCGGTCCAAAGAAGGGTCGGCGAAACATGTGGCCGCTGGGAGCGCGGCCAAAGGTTAAGCTGGTGAGCGGCGTAGCGAACGGCGAACGGCCACAGAAAATGGGGTGCACCGGCATGGATCATGGAGGTACGAGCCACCTCCATGACCAAACCGATGCGTCGCTCAGCAACCCCATTCTGCTGCGGGGAGTCCAGTAGGGTGTACGACTGTGTGATGCCCTCCACACGACAGAACTGTCCAAGCCAACCAGAGGCAAACTCGCTGCCACGGTCGGAGTGGAGGCATAGCACAGGGAGACCGCGGTGGAGGCGCACAGCTCTGACCCATGAGATAAGAACGTCAGGCACGTTGGCCTTCCGCTCCCGGGGAAACACCGTGGTGTAGCGCGTGTAGTCGTCAACGAGCACTAGAGTAGCACTAGTGATGCAGTCCAGGGATGGGGGCGGGGCCCCAGACGTCCAGGTGCAGGGTCTGGAGGGGTGCGGTGGCAGGGCGAAGCGAGGAGGAGTGAGGAGAACGGCGCAGCCGGCCCTCGACGCAGGGGGTGCACAGCGGTGCAGGGGAGGGGAGGGCAGGAAGCGACATAGGGGGACCTAGGACGAGACCGTGCTGGGACATGTGACGCAGACGCGGGAGTGCGGGGTGACCTAGGCGATGGTGCTACAGAAGCGACGGGTGAGTGAGCGACCGACACGAGCAAGCAGTAGCGACTTGGGTAGACGTAGAGCCCGGGGAGGACGCCCCAACCGGGGGGGGAACAGTGTCCAGCGTAAACAAGCCAGACACTTGGTCCCGGGGGAACGTCGCAAGGGGGGAACCTGAGGTGGCCTCGGTAGAGACAGCGTACCGCTCGTGACCAGGGAACGTAGTGGTGACGCCGAGGTCCTGAAGAAAACCGACACCAACTAGGTTCCCAGAGAACAAGGGGATGTGCAAGCCTGTAAGGGAACCCGAGGGGACCACTGGACATGGAAATATGGTGTAGCTGCGAGCAACGTCAGGACCATAAGAGGGGTCAGCAAGCGCGACAGCGGCAGGCGCAGCAAGCGGCGTGAGGGTGGCGTGGTCACGGACGAAGCAGGCAGACGCACCGAAGTCGAGCATGCAGGACAGCGAAGCAGTAGCGGCAGACGAAGGAGGGGCAAGTGTAGAGCCTAGGCTAGACAAAGCAAATGGTCCTACGCCCGACACAGCAGGGGAGTCGGTACTATACAAAGGTGCTTTTCCTAAGCTAGAGAACACAGGGTAGTAAGATCCGGACACACTAGAAGCATTAGCATACAGAGAATGCAGGGCAGAACTAATCTGATCCATGTCTAAGTCAAACACAGGCACACCTTGGCGCAGCAGACTGGGCCAGTCGGGGAGGTCCAGGGCCGGGCCAAAGCGGCGACGGAAGAGTTCGTCGAGGCGGCGGAAGCAGCGGGCGGTTGGGTGCGGGCAGCGGCACACGGTGCCACGAAGGGGCCCGGTCTGGAACTGGTACTGGAAGCTCACAGCATTGAAGCCGCTGGTAGACGCCGAGCTGCGGGGGCCGCCACCGCGGCCACCACCTCCGAGGGCTCCTGGCCACCCCGTCAAGAGGCGGGCCCTCGACTGCTGCTGCTGTTGCGACTGCTGTATCTATTGCTGCGGCTGCTACTACCGCTGCTGCGGCGACTGCTGCTACTGCGGCTGCTGCTGCTCCTGGACACCAGCCCCAACCCCCTCGTCAGAACCACTGTCCCCGCCACCACCACTACCACCACCAGGGCCACCACCACGCCCTCCCTTGGGGCTGCGGCGGCCCCGACGCTATCGTTGCGGGAAGGCCGCAGCTGCGGTCTCAGTGGCAGGGGCAGTCGTAGCGACCGTGACTGAAACGTCAGCGTACGTGCACTGGGAAGGAGCACAGCCCTGAAAGATAGGGACTGCCGCAACACCGCTCGACTGAGCGATAGTGCTCTGGCGAGTCTCTATCTAAGACAAGGCAGTGACAAAGGCAGTCAGGGTGAGGTCGCCAGGGTGCTGGCTAAGAAAGTGGTCTCGGGCAGTTGCTAAGCGGCAGGCAGGCGCATAGCAATAAGGTACAGGGTAGCGCAGAACGGTGGGGTGAAAGCAGTGAGCTGAGCGGCAGTGCTAGCTGCGCGGTAGCTAGTCTCTAGTGCACGGAGGTGAGTGGCGAGATCAACGACATTGGGGAAAGCGGAAAGATCGGGGAATAGCATGGGGAGGATCAAGCGGCCAGCGGAGGCAAATACAGGTGTGGAGTAGCGCGCAACTACTGCATCTAGGAAGTCATTGGCGTTCGCTACAACAGTGAAGCGGGGGCGCTCAGACAGGGGAAGTGCATGACTAATGGCAAGCTCCGCTATAGCATTGCAAGAATCCCATACAGCACGAGCGAGCGCAGCAGCAGCTAAGGCCTCACTCTCAGCAGCGGTGGGGTCAGCAGGGAGGGGATCAGGCGCGGGGGGGCGGGGAAGCAAGCCATCAACATGCATAGCCAGGGAGTGCCCATCCTGGCGCTGACCTGTCAGGTGCCAGAGAAGGTCGACAAGCCAAATCGCAAAGTCGATCGCGTGTCCCCCCGCGTCCAGGCGAAGTACGACGTCCGCCATCGGGCAACCGCATCGGCACAGGTACACGGCGGCACAGCGGCACGGCGACGCGGCAACGCGGCGGCACAGGGACTCAGCGGCACGGCGGCACAGCGGCGTGGCGGCCGGACTCTCCGACGAGGAGACCGAGCGGGAGGCCGAGGAGGGCCCGAGGCGCGCAAGGCCCGAGGCGCGCAAGGCCTGAGGCGCGCGGGGCTCGCAGGGCGCAATGGGCCGGCGGAGTGCTGGGGCCCAGTGGTGCGGGAGGGCCGGTGGGCGCTCGAGGAGCAGGCAGACGCGCAAGGGGCCGAGGCGCACGAGGGGTCGGCGAGGCGCGCGAGAGGCCGGGTAGGTGCGGGAGGGGCCGGCAAGCACGTGAGGGGCTGGCTAGGCACGAGGGGCCGGCGGTGCGCGAGAGGGGCCGGCTAGCGCAAGGGGCCGGCTAGGCGAGAGGGGCCGGCTAGGCGTGAGGGGCTGGCTAGGCGAGAGGGGACGGCTAGGCGCGAGGGGCCGGCTAGGCGAGAAGGGGCCGGCTAGGCGCAAGGGGCCGGTACGGCGCAAGGGGTCGGCTAGGCGAGATGGGCCGGCTGGGCGAGGGGCCGGCTAGGCAAGGGGGGGCGGCTAGACGAGAGTGGCCGGCTAGGAGCGAGGGGCCGGCTAGGCGAGGGGGGCCGGCTAGGTGCGAGGGGCCGGCTAGGCGAGAGGGGGCCGGCTAGGCGCGAGGGGCCAGCTAGGCGAGAGGGGCCGACTAGGCGCGAGGGGCCGGCTCGGCGCGAAGGGCCGGCTAGGCGCGGGAGGCCGGCTCGGCGCGCTAGGGGCCGGCTGGGCGCGAGGGGCCGGCAGGGCGCTAAGGGGCCGGCAGGCGCGCTAGGGGCCGGCGGGGCGCGATAGGGGCCGGCGGGGCGCGATAGGCTAGGGCGAGGGGCGGAAGCGGGTGGGCAGACCTAACCTACTCATGATACCATGTTAGAATACTAAAATGAATTGAAACAAGAGAGTACAAGGAAGATATAGGGTTGGAGATGTACTCTCTAAGAACACAAGCCTATGTAGCCTATAACTTCTACATATAAACATATGTATAAGTTGACAGGTTCTACGTCCTAATTGTGTCACTTTATATTTTCTTTCAATTAGGTCTAGAATTTTCCGAGCTTTTGTATACCAAAAATCTTTGCAAATGTGCAAAAACAAATGCATGACAAGATGGAGTAGGCCGAGCGGCCAATGGAGGAGACTAAACGATGGGATTCCATGAAGTTCAATTACTCCGTCTCTCAACAAGAATTGCACCATCAATTCCCGAAAAATAGCTCCCATAAACGAGGATGTCCCATAACGGGTACTAGTACAAGGTCTTGACCGTTTCACCCAGCCAATCGCAGCGTGCTTCCGATGTGACTTTCCCGCCACTGACACTCACGACCGACCATTGGTGCCGTCCTCTCACATCACATTACATAGCTCTCCTCACCTCAAACCTCATTAGACGCCTTTCGTGTTTTCCATCATCTTGCTAGTCCTTCCAGTCACCATGGCGTCGCTCGCGTCGTCTACCTCCCTACCACGGGCTGCCATTAGACCGCCACACCAAGCCGTGAGCCACCTGCTCTGCCGTGACCGCTCTCGCCTTTGCTGAAGACCGAAAGATCTGTCTCGCGGCCTGCATGAGCCTCGTCACACGTTTGCTAATATCTCATTTCCACAACCACAATCCTCTCAAACCCTCTCCCTACATTTCCGCGTGTTTCTTTCGTTCTCCCCCTATTTCACACCCGAAGGTCTCGGCCGGTCGACGCCCCTCGCCTTATTGCTCCGCCGCGTCATTCCCCGCCTCTCGCCTCTCCTCCGCCTCCGCTCTCTCCGCGCGGATATGCCTTCCGCCACTCCCCGCGCTCTCCCCCAAGCGACGCAGCACAGCCGTGCGAGCCGCAGCGGCGCCGGCGGCGGACGGCACGCTGACCCGCGTGGCGCAAGCCGTGTACAAGAGCGCGCTGCCGGCGGGATTCGCCACGGGGCTCGGCCTCACGGAGCTGTCGGTGAGGCGCGCACCGGGCATTGAGGGGGGAGGGGCAATGGGAGAGGCGGGGAAGGGGGGGGTGGAGGAGGGGGGGGAACGGGGGAGCGGTGGTGAGGGGGAGGGAGAACGCGGGACCCGTGCGGCGATACTTGGTGCGAGCCATGCAATGCTGCTGCTGCCGGGGAATGGTCTGTTTTTACTTGCACGCGAAGCGGCGTCGGTCATGGTCTAGGGCACACTGTGCTCGTCCTCCTCTGGGCTCCCGTGCCACGTCATGCGCTCTTGTGTGTGCCTGTCTGCTTCCCGTGCTTGTGCGTGTGCGTGTGGGCGGCGCAGGTTGTCCTTTTCCTCCGGGAGAGCATGATTGCGCTGGCCACTCTCGTCATCGTCTACAGCGCGCCAAAGATCTGCCGTGTGCTCAACCAGTGAGAATGCGCCGCGTGCTCAACCAGTGAGAGGTGGATGGGAGGGCAAGTGAAGAGTGAGGGGGGCAGGGAGATGGCGACGGCACCCGTGTGTTGCGCCGACGGCACCCGTGTGTTGTGCCGATGGCACCCGTGTGTTGCGTGTCCACGTGAGTGGGGAGCGAATGCAAGCCAAGGCCTCACAGCATCCACCGCCAGCATCTGTTGACTCGCGTCCAGGCTGCACCTTCGACCGTTGCCCATCCCTTTCTCCTCTTTTCTCATTCTCTACCTTCCCCCCCCCCGCCCCCCTTCCCCCCGCGTCCCCTCCCATCCCCACTCTCCCCACTCTTACGCTCCCCTGGCCCTCCCAGCGTGTGGGGGTCGTACGTGATGCGCGACGAGGAGGTGACGGAGGAGGAGTTTCAGGACAGCATGTTCGGCGCGCTCATCCACCCGCTGCAGTTCGCACTCGTCGCCGCCTTCCTCTCGCGCCAGTCAGTGCTCGCTCCCTTGCTCTCTTCCTCTCACTCTTCCTCTCACTCTTCCTTTGGCTCGCACACTACTTCTCACACCGCCACTCACTCACGCCCCCTTCCCCTCCCCGCGCCCAGCGTGCATCTGCTGGTGCCGGCGCTGCGCGCGCAGGCGGCGGCGGCGGCGGTGGGGAAGGTGAGGGGCGCGGCGGTGGTGGTGGCGGCGGCGTGGTTCGCGTCGGGGTGGAAGGACCGCATCATCAAGCTCGCCGCCGCCTCGCACCCGCAGGACAAGGTGAGCTCATGGGTCGTGCCATGCCATGCCTCGCCCCAAGGCAAGGGCACATAGGGCCTGGCAGTGGCAAGGCGGGCCTAAACGCGCACCATGGCCCTTCCACTTCCCTCCCACACGCCTCCCCGCATGCTGCCTTGCGCATTCCTTCCCTACCTGTCCTCCCGCCCACCTCTCCCCTTCCCCCCCCTTCCCCCGCCTCCCCCCCCCCCCCCGCCCGTCCCCCCCGGCAGCCGGTGCTGGTGAACGTGAACGTGGTGCTGACGCTGCTGGTGCGCGTGGTGGCTGCCGTCACCATCGCCGACATGTTCGGAGTCAGCTTCAAGTCGCTCCTCGCCATCGGAGGCATCTCAGGTCGCCCCTCACACCGCCTAGCTTCTCTCTCTCGCTTCCCTCCACCTTCTCATTCCTCTGCTTCCCCCCTTCCGCTATTTTTCTCTCACTCCCCCCTCCCTTCTCTCGCTCACTCCTCTTCCTCCCCCTCCTCTGGCCCCTCTGCTGCACCCTCATCCCTGCCACCCTCATCCCTGCCACTCACCCTTTCTCTCGCTTTGCTTGGTCGCTGTCATTCCGCCTCTCCCCCTTCCGTCTCCCTCCCCATCATCGTCATCACCACCACTCCTCCCACCCCCCTCCTCCCACCCCCCTGCTCCCACCCCCCTCCTCCCACCCCCCTCCTTCCCATCCCCCTCCTTCCCATCCCCATCTCCGTCCGTGCCCCCCGTGTTCCCCCCCCCCAGGGCTGGCCATTGGGCTGGCGTCGGAGGCCATAGTGTCCAACTTCTTCGGCGGGCTGGTGCTGTTCCTCACGCGGCCCTTCGTGGTGGGGGAGAAGATCCGCGTGGCGGGGCTCAAGGGCAAGGTGCTGGAGATCGGCTTCCTGCAGACCAAGCTGGAGGCGGACGACAACTCGCCCATCCTCGTGCCCAACGCCCTCTTCAACAAGGCCGTGAGGCGGGGCGTGCTGTGGCGTGGCATGGCATGGCATGGCATGGCATGGCGTGGCATGGTATGGCATGGGCACGGCGTGGCATGGCATGGTGTGGCATGGCATGGTGTCGCATGGCATGGTGTGGCATGGCATATCATGGCATGGCATGGCGTGGCATGGCATGGCATGGCATGGCATGGCATGGCATGGCATGGCATGGCATGGCATGGCATGGCATGGCATGGCATGGCATGGCATGGCATGGCATGGCGTGGCATGGCATGGCGTGGCATGGCATGGCATGGCATGGCATGGCATGGCATGGCATGGCATGGCATGGCATGGCATGGCATGGCATGGCATGGCATGGCATGGCGGGTGGAAAGTGCTAGATTCCGACTGGCCACTTTCGTGGCCACCACATGCATCATGTCCCTCATTTGCTGCCCTTGCCATTGTGCCCCAACGCCCCACCCCCCCTCCTCCCTTGCTCACAGGTACACCTCCCCTGTAAGCCGCACTCACCTCTGCCCCTCCACACTCTCCACATCCTTTCTGTACTCTCCTCCCCCCCCCCAAACAAACCTCCAATGCCACCCCTCCGCCTTCCCCAGACGATTCTGAACATCACGCGGGCGGGGTGCCGGCTGATGGACGCGACCTTCGTGCTGCGCAACGAGGACGTGGTGCGCGTGCGCCCCATCACGCGCGCACTCACGGCGTACGTGCAGGCGCACCCGCGTGTGGACCGCTCCAAGGGGCCCGCCATGGCGTTCCTCAAGGCGCTCACGGGGTCGGGGCTGCAGATCGGCGTCACCGCCTGCATCAAAGACATGGTGGGCTTGGGGGTTGGGAGACTAGGTGGGCTTGAGCATTGGGAGACACCATTGGTCAAGCAACAAGCAACCCACGGGGTCGGGGCTGCAAGTGGGCGCCACCGCCCTCATAAAAAGCATGATGGGTTTGGCGGTTAGGAACCATGGTGGGTGGGTTGAGGGCTTGGTGGAGTTGGCATGAGGAGAGGGATGTTCCTGCCGGCACAGCAGGAGATGCAGGAGCCGAGCGTGGAGATGGGCGTGGAGATGGGCGTGGAGATGGGCGTGGAGATGGGCGTGGAGATGGGCGTGGAGATGGGCGTGGAGATGGGCGTGGAGATGGGCGTGGAGATGGGCGTGGAGATGGGCGTGGAGATGGGCGTGGAGATGGGCGTGGAGATGGGCGTGGAGATGGGCGTGGAGATGGGCGTGGAGATGGGCGTGGAGATGGGCGTGGAGATGGGCGTGGAGATGGGCGTGGAGATGGGCGTGGAGATGGGCGTGGAGATGGGCGTGGAGATGGGCGTGGAGATGGGCGTGGAGATGGGCGTGGAGATGGGCGTGGAGATGGGCGTGGAGATGGGCGTGGAGATGGGCGTGGAGATGGGCGTGGAGATGGGCGTGGAGATGGGCGTGGAGATGGGCGTGGAGACGACTATCAGCCGTTTCCCTCTCTCCCTTCTCTCGCTCTCACTCCCTTGCCCTGTCCCCGCCGTGCCATTTCCCCCCTCTCTCCTCGCAGAGCAAGGGCGAGTTCCTGCCGGTGCAGCAGGAGATGTTGGAGAAGAGTTTGGAGATCATCGTCAGCCTTTCCTCCCTCACTCTCTCCGTCCCCTCCTCTCACTCTCTTGCCATCGTCCATCTCCCCTCCCCCATTATCCCCGCAGAGCAAGGGCAAGTTCCTGCCGGTGCAGCAGGAGATTCTGGAGAAGAGTGTTGAGATCATCGAGGGGGAGGGCGCCCTGCTGGGGGAGAGCGCACCCTTCGACCCCAACACCGCCAACGGCACCACCAGCTCCTCCTATGTCGCGTAACGCCTCTCCCCCTCTCCTCATCTCTTTCCCGCTTTCGCTCTCCTCTTGTTTCTCCATCACTCTCCCTCTCTTCTATTCCTCCCTCGCTCCCTCTCTCACTCGCTCTCCTCGACCTGCTCTCGTGTCTCTCCTTTCCTCCCAGCAACATCTGCTGCCCATCTTGCCCCCCTCTCCTCTCCTCCCATCATCACCATCTCCTCTCTCCCATTCCTCTCCCCCCCCCCCCTCCCCCCACTGGTGGCAGGCGCAAGAACCTCTTGTGGCAGAGGCGGAAGCGCAGCGCAGAATAGATGGCAAGGCTGCGAGGAGGCACCGCCATTGATGGTATTCACCTTTATTTATGAAGCAGCTGAGGTGGTGCAGTGATCCAGAATAATAGCATTTCATACCACATCAAGACCAGCTTGTTCTAGGCCAGCTAGGTAGTAGGTAGCTAATTGAGCAGTGTAGTGCAATTGTAGTGTTACCAGTAGTTTGCCTTGCCAAACAAAGCAGAGGGACGACAAGAAACTACCAATTCCAATTCAACCTAGCATGCATGTGTGCGGTGGTGGTATGGAAATATATACAGGCGCCACACTGGACCATGCTGTTGGTAAAAAGATGCTCTCCCTAAACCTAGTTGGCCAGGTGCACACACCACCAGCACTCCATCCCATGCCCATGAGCCCACTCCCCACATCTCTCCCTCAGCAGCAGTTGGCGGCTCTCTTGGCGCGCCATGCCTTAGCCCGCGCCTCCCTCTTCCTCCTCTTCTCCTGCACCCAAGCTTCCTCCCACTCTCGCCCGCGCTTATTCTTGCCTCCCCTGCCCTTCAATGCGCCATCCTTCCTCCCCGCCCTCCCCTCTGCACCGCTCCCTCCGTGCCTCCCAATGCCGCTGCTTCTGCTCCCCTTGCCGCTGCCCTCCCTGCCACCGCCATGCACACTCGCCTCTGCTGCAACCTCAACCAAACACTCCCCCTCTCCCCTCTCCCCCCCACATGCATGAGCCTTATCCTCCCTCCCCTCTGCCCATCCTCTCCCCTCTTCTCTTCCCTCCCCTTGTGGCCCACCCTCCTCCCTCACGTCATTCTCTTCCCCGCTCACCACTGCGCCACTCTCAGCCTCTCCCCCAACCGCCCCCTCGCCCATCTCCTCATCTCCATCTTCCCTCATTGCCTCCCCCTCCGCTCCCTCACACCTCCCTTCGCTTCTCAACCCCTCCTCTCCCCCCTCCTCTCCCCCCTCCCCCAATGCGCCACTCCCTCCTCCCCCCTCACCCTCCTCCTCGCCATCTGACTCCCCGTCTGCATCGGCATCGCCCTCCCCCTCTCGCGCCCCCTGTGACTGCCTCTCTGTACGTTCGCCATCCAAACCCCCCCTGCTCTCAACTAGTGCGCCCATCCCACCCTCCCCTTCCACCTCCTCCCCCTCCTCCTCTGCTGCTCCCTCCAACCTCCCTCCCTCCAATCCTCCCCTTTCTGCCCCACTCCCGCCCTCCCCCCAACCGTCTCTCCTCCCTCTGCCTCCCCACCCGCTCCCCCCTCTCCCGCCTCTCCCCCCTCCCCCTCCTCCTCCCTCTCCTCGCCCTCCGCTTCCTCGGCATCACCCCCACGTACTCCCCCCGGCCGCGCTGCCCCCTCACCACGTGCACAATGCGCCCGCACACGCCCACCTCCACCTCCTCCCCCACCGCGGCGCACCCCCACACGTCCACGTGCCTCAGCGCCCGCGCATGCGCCAGCCCCTGTGGCAGCTGGGCCAGCGCGCTGCACTCGCGCAGCAGCAGGGAGTGCAGCGCGGGGAGGGCCGCCAGGCCGGGGGGAAGGGCGGAGAGGGACGGGCATTGGGAGAGGGAGAGGAGGCGGAGGGCGGGGAGGCGGGGGAGGGATGCGGGGAGGCGGGCGAAGGAGCGGCAGTAGGTGATGTCGAGGCGGGTGAGGCGGGGGAGGGGGGAGAAGTCGTCCGGGAGGTGCGTGAGGGCGCCGCAGCTGGTGATGGTGAGGGCGCGCAGGGCGGGCAGGCGGGGGAGGGAGTCGGGCAGGTGGGCGAGCGCGGAGCAGCGGGAGAGCGAGAGGTGCTTGAGGGCGGGGAGGTCACCGAGGGCGTCGGGGAGGGCGAGGAGGGTGGGGCAGGAGAGCAGCGAGAGGGTGTGCAGGCGGGGGAGGCGGCAGAGGGAGGGCGGCAGGGCGGTGAGGAGCAGGCAGTCGGAGAGGACCAGCTCGCCCAGACACGTCAGCCCGCTGAGCGTGTCTGGGAGGCCCACTATCGGAAGATTCTTTATAGTCAGCTCCTTTAACGCGCCCAGCTGCCCTATAGAATCCGGCAGGGCGGTGAGCGCGCTGCACATGGTGAGGCTCAGGTGCTCCAGCGCGCCCAGCGCGCCCAGGCCATCCGGTATCGCTGCCAGCGCGCCGCACCGCAGCACCAGCCGCTTCAGCGCCTTCAGGCGGCGCAGCGACGCGGGCAGGCGCAGCAGCGCGGGGCAGTCCTCCAGCTCCAGCGAATCCAGCGCCGCCAGCTGGCCCAGAGATTCCGGGATGGAGGCGAGTTCGGTCGCGGAGGAGATTTTGAGCGCGCGCAGGGCGGAGAGCGCGGAGAGCGCGGGGGGGAGGCGCTGGATGTACAGCAGGCGGAGCAGGGAGAGCGAGGTGAGCGCGGAGAGGCGGCAGACAACGGGGGGGAAGGCGTAGAGCGCGGAGAGGTCGGAGAGGGAGAGCGCGCGCAGCGACGGCGCGAGCGCGGCGAGCGCGGGGGGGAGGTCGGTGAGGCGCGTGCAGCTGTGGAGGGAGAGCGACTGCAGGGCAGAGAGGCGGCTGACGTCAGCGGGGAGCGCGACGAGCTGCGTGAAGCCGTGCAGCCCCAGGTGCGTCAGCGCCGGCAGCGACCACAGCGCCGCAGGCAGCCGCCGCAGCCGACCCAGCGGCGCGCGGTAGCCCATATGCAGCTCCAGGTGGCGAAGGGCGGGGGCCAGGGGCGGCGGGGGGATGGCGGGGAGGGCGGGAGGCAGGGGGGCAGCAGCAGTGGTGGGTTCAGGCGTGTTTGCGATCGCGTCTGTCTCTCCGTTACCCGCAGCAGCCTCGTCCGTTCCGTCCTCGTCTTCCCCCTCCGCGTCCGCGTCCGCGCCTCCCCCCATGAGCGAGGCGAGGCACGACACGTTCTTCACCACCACGTGCGCCAGCCGCGGCAGCGCCAGCAGCGCGGCGGGCAGCGCGCTCACCGCGCCGGACGGCGCGAACACCAGCCGCTCCAGTGACGTCAGCATCCCGACCGACGCGGGCAGCGTGCCGATCGGCGCGTCGACGATCTCGAGCTCGCGGAGGACGGGCGCCGCGCCGAGGTCGTCGGGGAGCGCGCGGAGGCCGCGGCACTGGCGGATGGTGAGGACTGCGAGGGACGCGAGCGACAGCGGCGGAAGGTGGTCCGCGGAGACGTCCTCCAGGCGCACCTCCTCCAGCTTCCGCCACTGCTCCCCCACGTTCGGCAGCAAACACTTGATGTTGCGCAGGTGCAGGCGGCGCAACTCTTTAAGCGCGCCGATGCTCTCCGAGATGCCCTCCAGGCGGAACCACCCGTGGATCTCCAGCGCCGTCAGCGTGCTCAGCGCGCCGAGCTGCGCGGGCAGCTGGCGCATCTCGCGGCAGTCCGCCAGGCACAGGCGCGAGAGGCGCGGGAGTTGAGCGACGGACGCGGGGAGGCTGGCGAGCTTGGGGCAGCTCAAGCAGAGCTCCTCCAGCGCGCGCAGCGCGCCGAGCTCGTCGGGCAGAACGCGGAGGCGCTTCAAGCAGAGCTTGAGGACGCGCAGCGACGAGAGCGACGCGAGGGAGGCGGGGAGCTTCGTGATGTGGCCCAGGCTGTGCTTCAGCGTCAGCTCCTCGAGGCGCGAGGCCGCCCGGAGGAAGCGGTTGAGGCACGGGAGCGTGATGCGGAAGTGCGGCGCGGCGGAGAACTGCGGCTCGTCAAGGCGCAGGCGGGAGAGCCGCGGGCAGGCGGCGGGCAGCGCGCGCAGGAACGCGTCGTTGAAGAAGTCAACGCTCTTGTCGGCTAGCGCGAGGGAGTTCACGTTCGGGAAGCTCGCCAAGCCGCGCACGAGCTCGCCCGCGTGGAGGTGGCGCGCAGCGCTGACGTGGACGGATTGTTGCTGGAGTTGCGTGAGGCGCAGCCATCGGCGGCACACGAGCGCGGGGTGCAAGGAGTCGCCGGCAGTCGCGCGCGAGAGAATGGCGGAGAGCACGTCGTCGGGCAAATAATTAATCAAATCCTCACCCGGCTCACACTCGCCTTTCGCCGACAGAAGGTTGCACGGCTCTCCTGCTGCGATTACATCAGGCGGAAGGCTCGTTGCGTCCATGGATGACGCGGAGAGAACGCTCCAGGTCGATGTCCCGGCTGTAGGGCTGCTGGTGGGAAACCCGGGAATAGTGCGGATTGAGATGAGAGCAGAGAAGGACAGGAAGGAGGGGAGGGGAGGTGAAGGGACTGCGCGTGAGCGGCGGCTATTGTGCTAACGGCGTGTCCGGCGTGTACGTGAGGATACAGTACACCCGAAACACTGAAAATGGAGCAGCTGAGCTGATTCCGTTAGGCGCGCGCTTTTCAGTCAAACATGAGCGCCTGAGATGCTGGCTGCACTTCTGCTGCTGAGCCGACACAGTCAAGCACGCAGCCAGCAGGGTGGCGAGCAGGGCTCTCGGTTCAAGGGTAAACATCCGGAATGTCAGGTACATTCCGGGTCTTGCCCGCTGAAATCCTGATTTTGAGGGTTTCAGAATCACAAACCTTCTGACTGATTCCGGGCGTTTCCCAGGAACTCTCTGAGAAATCCGGACTGCGCGAAAAAATATCCTGACTATCCGACTGGAATGGATACCTACCCCTGCTGGAATTGTAACCCTACCCTCCCCCCCATTGCAGCCCTGACCAATTTTCCACACAATCTGAAGGTGTGACCCGTTGAACTTTCACAACTACAGAAGTGCAGGGCTTTCAGACTATCACAACCCCTTAATATCACCTTAGCCAGGCTTCGCACTGTCCCTCTAAGTTGTACGCATTTCTGTCACGATTGACAAGGAAAGTGTCGAACTTGGTGTGGTGCTGAGGGACAGCAACAGCAGCAAGTGTGTACTCTGTATTCTTCATCGTTTCTTCCATGGATGTCCGTCCTGCTTGTACTCGAAGTGCCCGCAGGTTCCGTCCATATGTAGGGATTTCCACAAAAAACACTCTGAAATTCAGATTGAAAGGTCAAAGTAATCCTGAAATAAAGAGAGATTTCCCTGGGAATGCTGATTTTTCAGGGTATTTAGTGACGCGAATCCTGAGACCGCTGGGTCCTGGAAAACGAAAAATTAGCCCTGGTGGCGAGAGGAGAGAAGGAGAGGTAGGGGGGGGGGTGCGTCATGCTGACGAGTGCCGCTCGCGGTGACAGGCGGATAGTCGGGGTGGAGGCGGGGGGGTTAGGGGCGCGGAGAAGGGCGGACGGAAATAGAGATTGGCAAGGGAGGGCTGCTCGCGGAGCGGAGCTCGCGCGGGTGAGTGGATAAGCTGGCTGGCGGGGGAACTGAGGGGAGCGTTTCAGTGACGAGGTGTTTTGGCGTGGATGAAGGCGCGGGTGAGGTGGTGTACAGTAAACGTCTAGGTGACGCCGAGACTCGTGATCCGGTGCAATATCCCCGTTAGATGTTTAGACATCTGACTGAAAATGCATGTACATTACAATGAACCAGCAGATCAATATCGGCCTAGGGCGTGTTTTAAGACAAAATACATCACGGTTGGCTTTGACAAGGTTTGTCCTAGACACGCATGATCTTTTTTTCGGGAAACGGAATAATTTCTGCTCAATATGTTGTGCACTATGAAGGGATGGAAGTAGATGCTATTATATCCATACAGCCAAAATGCAAGAAAGCTTGGCTATTTTATACTAGGTATCTCTCATGCCACGCTGATACGTCCAATATATAGAGATTCTCCCTTGTGATGGCATGCGCAATGAGGGGAGCAGTGTCAGCTTGAAGTGGGCATGTAAAGGGCCTTCTCTACTGCCAGGCTGCATTAGCACATAGCATGCGCTCCACGGCCAGTGTCTTCCCCATCCGGCCGCACGCTTTCCCCCCTCTTCCCCCCCCCCCCCCCCCCCCCCCCCCCCCCTGCACCTATACTCTCCCTCCCTACAACCTTGCAGCTCCATTCTTCCTCCTACAGCTTGCAGCACCTGCTGCCCGGCTTGGGCCCGCCACAGGCTTTGGAGCCGATGGGGCAGCAGCCCCACGTGCGCGTGGTGACATTGCGGAAGCACGCGCCCACCTTGCAGCACATGATGCCGCCGCAGCACGAGTACTCGTGCGTGTCCTGCCCTCCGCCACCAGCGGCACGGGAGACGGGTATGGGATGGGATCAAGCGGCACGAGACGTGGAAACGATTAAAACATAAGAGGACGAACAGAAAGAAAGAAAACGGGAGCAGGGGAAAATATAGGTTACTTCATAAATCGGTACGCTCACACCCTCACGGTTCTTTTGCTCCCACCCCATTCCCTCACACCCCATTCCCTCACACCCGTTCCAGCGCACCGCTCGCCCTCACAGCAGCGACTCCCCCTCCCCCTGCCCCATCACTCACGATGCAGCACGCGCCGCCGCAGTAGACGCGGGGCTTCTGGCAGCCGGGGTAACCGGACATGGCGCACACGCCCGTGCCCGGCTTCGAACACTTCACTTTCCGCTTCGCCGCCACCTGAAGCTCCTCGCGCCGCCCTGCTTGCGCGCCAAGCGCACGCTCCACGTGTCCAGCAGCGGAAATGGCGGCGTCAGATGAAATTGAGACCTGATCGAGCGGCGCCGTGGCTCTTCCTTCTGCTGTGAGGCTGGTTCGAGGCGCGATGGGATCGGCGTGCGGAAGGAGCACGATTAGGGCTATTAATGCGCACGTCGCTGCGATCGACTTCATGACGGCGAGGCCCAGACGCACGTCGCCCGCGATGTGTATGCTTTAAAAAAGGCGCGACTGACGGGGAGACGCGGTGTCGAATATGTTCACACGTGTTACAACCTGCCTACATTTCGCTCAAGCGTTCACGTTCTTAGTCGGAGGACGGACATACACTGCATAAAGAACTGCAAGAGGCGTCTTTTGCCAGAAGCGGACAAGTCAATCGACACAGAAAAAACTGCAGCAATGGAGGGCGAGCCTCAATCGAGAGTGTCTCTTCGCACGATTTGAGGTCGATGGGTAAACAGGGGCCGATTCTCACCACCCCTTCGCCAACTCCCCAAACCAGGCGAACCCAAGCAAACCGAACTCACGCTTGTGGTTCTCCCTCGTTTCTAGAGAGCCAGATGCACGTGGCGCCGTCATGCGCAAGCCCGAGTGCGACTCGATGTGGCGAACGAGGGGGGGCAATTTTCCGCTGAGAGGGAGGCGGTTTCTGACTGGACCAATGTTGATGCTTCGTGTCATGGCTCGGCGCATATTTGGTCAAGTTCGGTGACATGTTTTAGGTTTGGCAGAACCCGGGCTCAGGTTCCTGGCTAGGTTTGGTTTGTGGCAACTTGTCGTCGAGCGCATCATTTGGAGGACGACTAGGTGTGCATGCGAATGGTGCGACCAGCTGCGACTCTGCGACCCGTCCTGGCTGATTTCCGTGATGCTTCTTCTCCAGCCCCTCACGCGCGCGTGCATGAAACACCTCCCCTTTCCCTCCAAAACGCACTTGACGGTGACAACGCCACATATACAGGGTCTCCGCCATATCTTCGTCACGGAGTGCTGCGATAGCGCTGATCTGCAGGTGGCTGCACCAAGAAAACCAGGGACAAATTCAACCTATAACTAGATGACCAACCCATGCTCCTAAACCCTCATCCTATCCAACCCTTGTCCTCCCTAAATGAAGCCACCGACATGGATAGAGTCGATATGTCATACTCCTATCGTAGTTTTTGTAGTCCTCGTGTTCAACTGGCTAGATGCTTACACATGCTTTAAGGTTTCTCATGTATTAGCCACTACTCTGTTCCGCCATTGATAGATGCATCACACAAAGGCATTCATGGTCAAGCGTGGAGAAGCGGGAAATGGTGCATGATTCATAGGAGGCATTTTGAGAACAATTGGGTCTCTGCAATTTGGGGTCCCGGCCAGTGAGATAAGAGTTTTTCACATGTGGATCGCTTGAAGCATGTCTAGACCAGCTGACTCGTTTGGAGATGTGGCACGTGATGACAGAGGTGGCTATTCTTTGCAGTCCAAAAATGCCGTCATATAGAGTCGTACATATCAAACAGTGAAATTGATGAATAGAGAGAGAGAGTACACAAACATATACCTAACTGTTGTACTCTCTAGAAGATGACCCTATACAGTCTATACAAGCATGATAACTAAACATGTTTGACACACCCCCTGGACTGCATAGGGGAATGTTCTAGACAAGCAGCTCAGGGTGGCACTACTAGTCCAGCCTCTGAGACAAGGGTCTAAAAGACCAGTCAGAAGGAGTACAGGCAAGGCAAGAACTAGTACAGGGCGGCACTACTAGTCCAACCACTGTAAGAGGACACAAGTCCAGTCTGAGTGTACACACAGATATATAGGACAGTACAGAGTCAAGGCCCGAGTAAGTGAGAGACTACAGGAACCAGACCAAGCTGTACACAGTGCCGCTGATGATCTTTAGGCGCAAGCGCCTTCGTAAAGATATCAGCTGTGTTGGCACCGGAGGCTAACTGTACTACGCGAGCCTGGCGACGCTGCTGTAGCTCACGCAGGAGGAAGTACCGCAGCTGGATGTGCTTCGCTCTGCCCTCGAGTCGAGGCTCCTGACACAGGAGGATCATGGCCCTGTTGTCAGCGTACAGGACCGGGGCAAAGCTAGGCCGCTCACCTAAGTCAGTGAGCAAGAAGGTCAGCCAGCGGAGCTCCTGTGCCGCCATGGCACCGGCGTAGATCTCGGCCTCACAGCTGGACTGGGCAACAGACGAAGAGCGGGTAGCTCTCCACGAGACAGCACCTGAACCAAGGCTAAAGCAGTAGCCCTGGGAAGACCTGAGCGTCTCGGCGTCGTCTGCCCAAGAAGCGTCTGTGTGTCCAGTAAGGACCACTGACCTGCGTCCGCCTAGCACTAACCCCATGCCCGATGTACTTGCAAGATAACGCAAAACCCTCTTAGCGGCAGACCAATGCTGAGGTCGGTGCCTGCCTGTGGCCACGAAACGAGCCAGGATGCTGAGAGGGTATGCGAGATCTGGGCGAGTGCAAGTCATCAGGTACATGAGGCAACCCACTAGCTCAGCGTAAGGACCACTGGGATCTACCGACTCCTCAGGAACTGGAGCGGAGAGTCTATGGTCCAGAGGAAGAGGGGTGGGCTGTGCGGAGGAGAACTGAAGGCCGAACCTCTGAAGGACCTGGCGCACCAAGTGTGACTGAGTCAGGGTGATGGTGCGCGCGGCTCTGTCCCTGGAGATCTGCAAGCCAAGGTAACGGCGCAGCTCTCCAAGGTCAGTGCAGGTGTGTCTCTTCAGCAGCTCTGCCTTCACGGAGGCCAGTGCGTCCCTGTCAGCAGTGGCAAAGACCAGGTCGTCTACGTAGACGAGGATGTAGAACGGAGTCGAGCCAGCACGAACGAAGAGCGAGGGGTCTGCAGAGGACGGAAAGAACTGCAGGTCAGCAAGGGTAGCACGCAAAGTGTCGTGCCACTCACGAGGCGCCTGGCGCAGGCCGTAGACTGGCCGCCGCAGAAGCCACTGGGTCCCAGGGGGGAAGGTGCCAGTAAAGCCCTGAGGGCGACGCAGGTAGACCGGCTCGTGAAGGCTGCCCTGAAGAAAGGCAGTGGAGAAGTCGAGGGAGTGAAGCTCGTAGTCACGCTGAGCCGCTACGTGTAGCAGCACCCGAAGAGTAGTCATCTTCGGGGTAGGAGCGAAAGTCTGAAAGAAGTCCACCCCCTCGCGCTGACTGAAGCCTCTAGCCACGTAGCGCGCCTTGAACACAGGCGGCTCTCCAGGAGGGCGCTTCACCTTGAAGAGCCAACGGCCATCGACCACGTTCACCCCAGGTGGGGGAACTGCGTCGACGAAGGTGCCGGTGGATCTCCAAGATGCCATCTCCTGCTCCATGGCAGCTATCCACTGAGAGGCCCAGGGTCCCGAAACCGCCTCAGCGTAAGTACGAGGGGTTGGGATGTCGAAAGCGTCTGGGTCACCCTCAGGGACTAGCAGCATGGAACAGAGATGGGGAGCAGCCTCGGACAGGAAAGCAAGCTCAAACTGGCGGTCCTCCAGGACGTCACTGCCGAGGGCAGGAGCACCCCCGACAGACGGAGGACAGGCAGGGTGAGAGACCAGAGCGGTGGCATAGTCAAGGCGGCGGGTAGAGGCGAAGTCAGCGACCGCAGCGACGAGGGCGTCAAGACTCGACACGGGAACAGACGGGTCGGTAACGAGAGAGGCAAGGACCCGAGGAACAAGAGGACGAGCGGCACGAAAGGAGTCGGACAGAGGAGGAGACGCAACGACAAGAGAAGACGGAGGAGGAGACGGGAGGAGGGGAGGTCGAGACGCGTGGGAACGGAGCAACATAGGGTGAGAGCGCGGGACAGGGGAGACAGGACGAGCACGAGAGGGGCGGCGAGACCAGACGTGTGAGGGCGGCGTCGGGTCAGGAGACAGAGGAGGGGACACAGGAGGGGAACGAGGGGGAAGACGAGACGGGGACGAGTCTGGCAGAGGGAACACGGGGCCGTAGACGGGAAGAGGGGGAGACGGCAGGAGAGGAACAGGCGCAGGGTCAGGAGACGGAAGGCCGAGCAGACGGAGGGCGGACACAGGCGGGGACTGCTGCTGCGGCGACACAACACCAACACCAGGGCCACAAGCTGCGCGACGGCTACCTCCCGAACCCTCCACACCTGCACCCCCAGAAGGGACACCCCCAGAGTCCACAAACGGCGGCAGCGACGACGGCGGCGGCGGCGGCGGCGGCTGCAGCGACGGCTGCGACGGCGGCGGCGGCGGAGACGACGGCTGCAACGGCGGCGGCGGTGGAGACGACGGCTGCAGCAGCTGCGGCGACGGCGGCTGCGGAGGCGGTGGAGGAGGAGACACCGGGGGAGGGACAGACGGCGAGGACTGCGCCGGAGGACTACCAGAGTCAGAAGACTCGTCGACCGGGACGACCGACGGGAGGGGGGTGACGTGAGACACACCAGAGGGGGCCGGACGGGGGGGCGGGGGGGGGGAGGGGCAGGGACCACCAGGGAGGGAGGAACCAGGAAAAGGGGGGGAGTAACCGGGGGACCACGGTGGGGAAAACGGCGGTAGAAGGAGACGGACTCGTCAAAGGTGACGTCGCGAGAGTGAAAGAAGCGGTGAGACGGCGGGTGGTAGAAGTGCCAGTCGGACGCGTCAAGGGGGAAACCGAGGAAGACGCAGGGGAGGGTGCGGGCAGTGAGCTTGTCCGTGCCAGAGGCACGAACGTGAGCAAGGCAGCCCCAGACGCGGAACGCAGACGCGTCACCAGGGGACCCGGTCCACAGAAGGGTCGGCGAAACCTGCGGCCGCTGGGGGTGCGGCCACAGGTTAAGCTGGTGAGCGGCGTAGCGCACGGCGAACGGCCACAGAAAATGGGGTGCACCGGCGTGGATCATGGAGGTGCGAGCCACCTCCATGACCAAACCGATGCGTCGCTCAGCGACCCCATTCTGCTGCGGGGAGTCCGGCAGGGTAAACGTCTGGGTGATGCCCTCCGCACGACAGAAGCGACCAAGGACACCTGAGGCAAACTCGCCACCCCGGTCGGAGTGAAGGCGCAAGGCAGGGAGACCGCGGTGGACACGAGCAGAGACAAGCCAGGGGATGAGAACGTCAGGCACGTCGGCCTTCCGCTCCAGGGGGAAGACGGTGGTGTAGCGCGTGAAGTCGTCGACAAGCACTAGGAAGAAGCGCTCGCGACGCGGCCCATGGACCGGGGCTGGGCCCCAGACGTCCATGTGCAGAGTCTGCAGTGGTGCGGTGGTAGGGGGAAAAGAGGAGGAGTGAGGGGCACGGCGGAGCCGGCCCTCGACACAAGGCGTGCACGGTGGGGCGGGGGAGGAGGGAAACTCGGGGAACGAACCGGGGAGACCAAGGACGAGACCGTGCTGGGACATGTGATGCAGACGTGGGAGTGCAGGGTGACCAAGGCGGTGGTGCCAAAGGAGAGTCGGGTGAGTGAGGGACCGACAGGAGCACGCGGCTGCAACCTGGGTGGACGCAGCTACCGGGGGGGAAGACCCAGCCGGGGACGGCGCGGTGTCAAGTGTGAACAGGCCGGACACCGGGTCCCGGGGGAAAGTGGTAAGGGGGGCACCAGTGGCGGCCTCGGTACAGACAGCATACCGCTCGTGACCAGGGAACGTAGTGGTGACGCCAAGGTCCTGGAGGCAGCCGACACCAACTAGGTTCCTGGAGAACGAGGGGATATGCAGACCTGTGAGAGTGCCCGAAGGAACCGCCGGACAGGGAAGGGAGGTGGAACTGCGGGCAACGACGGGACCACCGGAGGGGTCAGCAAGAGTAACTGCAGCGGGAACAGGCAGCGGCGTCAGCGTCGTGGAGTCGCGGAAGAAACACCGGGAGGCGCCAGAGTCCAAGGTGAAGGAAAGCGCAGCAGTCGCGCGAGGCAGCAGTGAAGCGGTGGAAGCAGCAAGGCTAAGCAAAGCAGGAGATCCTACGCCTGACGCAGCAGGGGAGTCTACGCTAGGCACCGCTACACTAGGCAACACGGGGTAATAAGAGGGAAGCACACTAGAGTCATCAGCATACATCACATGCAAGGCCGCTACAATGGCATCCATGTCCAAGTCAAAAATCCTAATGCTACGCCTAAGCAAGCTGTGCCAGTCCGGGAGGTCGGGCGCCGGGCCAAAGCGCTGGCGGAACAGGTCGTCCAGGCGACGAAAACAGCGAGGAGTAGAATGACCGATCTTACCGCAAACGAAGCCGCGGCGAGGACCGGTCTGGATCTGGTACTGACAGGGCCCGCCTCCAGAACCACCACCCGGTGCACCACCACGCGCACGACCACCACCAGCTCCAGGCCACCCAGGTGGGAGAGTACTCGCCTGCCTCGTCTGCGGCGGCTGCTGCGGCTGCTGCGAAGGCTGCGGCTGCGGCGACTGCTGCTGCTGCGGCTGCTGCAACTGTGGAGGCAGCGGGGCAGCTGGACCGGGCAGGGTCCCCACGTTCGCACCGGCACCGGACGACCCGCCTCCACCACTACCCCCACCCGCACCCCCGCCGCCTCCGCCGCTCCCAACCTTGGGGCGGCGGCCCTTCGCCGAGCGGGACTGCACTGCAGCAGCAGTCTCAGCCACAGCGACAGAGCCGTCGGAGAAGGTACACTGAGCGGGGGCACAACCCTGAAAGATAGGGACTGGTACTGTACCGCTCGCCAGGGCTATGGAGCGGTGACGAGTCTCTATGGCAGTCAGGGTGTCAACAAAGTCGGTGAGGGTGAGAGCAGCAGGGTGGATGCTAAGGAACTGGTCGCGGGCGGCGGCAAGGCGGTCAGGTAGGCGGGTGGCAAGGAGGTAGAGGGTAGAGGTCATGGGAGGCTGGTGGACTCTAAGCTGAGCATCAGTGCAGGCAGCGCGCCAGGCCTCATCTATCGAGCGCAGGTGGGCAGCGAGGTCAGAGACAGTGGGGAAAGACGCCAGGTCAGGAAAGAGCAGGGGAAGGATCAGGCGACCCACTGAGGCAGCAGGAGGGGTAGAATAGCGCTTGATGACAGCATCGAGGTAGGCCTGGGCGGTAGGAATGGTTCTAAAGCGAGGGCGCTCAGTGGGGGGGAGGGCATTGCTAATGGCGAGCTGAGCAAGGGCATCGCGGGAAAGCCAGACAGAGCGGGCAAGGGCAGCAGCGGCAGTGGACTCGCGCTCAGCGGGCGTGGGATCAGCGGGCAGCACAGCAGGGGGGTCAGGGCAGGGGAGCATACCGTCTAGGTGTGCAGAAAGCGGGTGGCCGTCCTGCCGCTGGCCAGTGAGGTGGCGGCGAAGGTCAGCCAACCACGCCTCGAACTCCAGAGGCTGACCCTCAACATCAAAACGAAGCTCAGCAGCCATGAGGGGCAGTGGAGGACAGTGCAGTGCGGTGCAGTGCGGTCCAGTGCGGTGCAGTGCGGTCAGTGCGATCCAGTGAGGTGCAATGCGATGCAAGGCGGGGCAGGAAAGTGCAGGAGGGTGCAAAGTGGTGCGGGGAACGGGGGACAGTACCAGGAAGTAGGGAGGGCCGGGGCAGGTGCGTCGGGGCCGGGCAGGCACGACAAGGCCGGGCGGCGGCGACGGGGCCGGGCGGCGGCGACGGGGCCGGGCGGCAGCGACAAGGCCGGGCGGCTGCGATGTGGCCGGGCGGCTGCGACGGGGCCGGGCGGCTGCGACGGGGCCGGGCGGCAGGGACGAGGCCGGGCCGGACACAGCAGGGCCGGGCAGGGGCGACGGGGCCGGGCGGCTGCGACGTGGCCGGGCGGCTGCGACGTGGCCGGGCGGCTGCGACGGGGCCGGGCGGCTGCGACGGGGCCGGGCGGCGGCGACGGGGCCGGGCGGCAGGGACGGGGCCCGGGCAGGCCACAGCAGGGCCGGGCAGGGGCGACGGGGCCGGGCGGGCGAGCAGGGGCCGGGCAGGTGCGACAGGGGCCGGGCAGCCGCGACAGGGGCCGGGCGGGCGCCACGCGGCCGATAGGCCGCGACGGGGCCGAGCAGGGGCGACGGGGCCGAGCAGGGGCGACGGGGCCGAGCAGGGGCGACGGGGATGGGTAGGGGCGCGACGGGGCCTGGAGGGGCGTTACCAAGCCCAGGTAGGGGCGCGACGGGGCCTGGGGGGAGCGCAATGGGGCCCAGGAGGGGCGCTACGAGGCCTGGGAGGAGCGCGACTGGGCTAGGGAGGGGCGCGACGGGGCCTGGAAGGAGCGCAATGGGGCCCAGGAGGGGGCGAGCGGAAGCGTGAGGGGGGGGGGGGGGGATCCTACCTACGCGTGATACCATATCAAACAGTGAAATTGATGAATAGAGAGAGAGAGTACACAAACATATACCTAACTGTTGTACTCTCTAGAAGATGACCCTATACAGTCTATACAAGCATGATAACTAAACATGTTTGACAGTACAAACAGGAAGGTTGGGTACAGTAAGTGTGGAGCAACACACAAGGTGACATTCTGCCTTTCAGCATGTCCAGTGGAGCTTCGCCCCACCGCACTTGGGTAAGAAGGCCTTTCGGCTGGTAGTGGAACTTTTATTCTAGTCAACAACGCTTTCGAAGGAAGTCGAGCAGAAAAGGGAGTCCTGTCTCCCACGCAGGAGGAGTGAAGAGGCCCCCAGCAGCAGCACAAGCCGTCACTAAACAGATTTCACTGCAGTAGTCGCCACTAAGATGCCATGTCAGCAGCACCGTCGGCCACCTCGGCAGGCTTTTTTCCCTAGCGGGCAGCAATCCCACTGCCCCCGCCTCCCCTGGTAGCACGCCCCCACCCGGCAGCACATGCGCCCCCCGCAGCATGGGTACTCGTGTGCGTCCTGCCCGTGGACAGGTGGATGGGCAACGCACAGGTGATGCATGGGTGATGGATGGGTGACGGATGGGTGACGCATGGGTGATGGATGGGTGATGCATGGGTGACACATGGGTGATGGATGGGTGATGCATGGGTGATGGATGGGTGATGCATGGGTGATGGATGGGTGATGCATGGGTGATGGATGGGTGACGCATGGGTGATGGATGGGTGACGCATGGGTGATGGATGGGTGATGCATGGGTGATGGATGGGTGACGCATGGGTGATGGATGGGTGATGCATGGGTGATGGATGGGTGACGCATGGGTGATGCATGGGTGTTGGATGGGTGACGCATGGGTGATGGATGGGTGATGCATGGGTGATGGATGGGTGACGCATGGGTGATGGATGGGTGACGCATGGGTGATGGATGGGTGATGCGCTGGTGATGCAGGGGTGATAAATGTGACGCAGATCCGAGGTGCATGGGGGGTGAATGCCATTCACCTCCCATTGCGAGGTGAATGCGAGGCGAATGCGAGGTGAATGCGGCGTGAATGCGGCGCGAATGCGGCGTGAATGCGACGTGCATGCGACGTGAATGCGACGTGAATGCGACGTGAATGCGACGTGAATGCGGCGTGAATGCGACGTGAATGCGAGGTGAATGCGGCGTGAATGCGGCGTGAATGCGGCGTGAATGCGAGGTGAATGCGAGGTGAATGCGACGTGAGATGCGACGTGAATGCAACGTGAATGCGGCGTGAATGCGGCGTGAATTCGAGGTGAATGGGAGGCGAATGGGAGGCGAATGGGAGGTGAATGGGAGGCGAATGGGAGGTGTTAAGGGTGGAAGGTTTTAAGGCGCCAGCCCACTTCATCTATGCGGCGTTCACGAGCCGGACCGTTTGTGAATCAGCCAGCATGGCCTTCACAGCGCGCACAGCGCTCAGAACGCACACAACAACTCGCAGACGGTGCTTCTACTGAAACGCGAGTGGACGGCGGAGCGTTTACGCAGAACCGACCGAGCGTCCCAAGCGGATCTGAAAGCTGAGAATTCATCGCTTCGCTCCCGAACAGCCAAGCCACGGCAGCAGTGTGATGGCCCACTCGGGACTCGTCAAGCTGGAATTCCGGTGGACAATGCGTCATCAGATTCCGAGCGTTTTTCTGCTTTTTTCTGGAGATCTTTTTAATTCCTGTAAGCAAGCAATCGCGCCCCCCACTCACGATGCAGCACTCCCCGCCGCAGAAGATGTCGCGTGGCTGGCACGTGTTCGACCCCTTGTAGCGACACACGCCCGTACCCTCCGCGCACCGCTGCGTGCCTCGCTCGGCGCGCAGCTCCCGCCGGCTAGATTGGAGGAGCTTGTCCGGAGCGAGACTCGGTGAAGCCGACTCGTTGAGCCGCCGATGGCGCGTCGCATCTCCGGCGTTTGCCCCTTGAACGGACAGTAGTCGCGCGGCGACACAGATGAGAAGTATGATCCAGCACGGCGACAGCCTCATGGTGGTACAGGATGATCGCTTCTATGGAATTGCAAAGAGAAAAAAAGGCCAACGATCGGTTTCTACTGAAAACGGAGAATCGAGAAACTCTCGGGTGATCAACTTTGAAAGCTCAGTTATAAAACACGCGTATGGATGTGTATCTCCAGCTCAGTTATCAGCTATGACAGGCAGCACCCTTTTTGTACAGTGTTGATACGGGAACAGAGGGAGAGAGAGGCAGAGAGGATGAATGCGTAATACTGTGCCCGCCGTGAGAGGTTGACACTTGCCGTATGGCATGTAGACGCTTGTGGCAGAAGCGAGGCGCGGGGCAGAGTTACCATGTCCTGTTAGCGGAAGGAGTTTCGGATCTGTTCTCTCCAACCCCCATGCCTTGCGTGTGGAATGTGGGTTGAATCTCGCGGACTGTTCGCTGTATGGAATGATGGCATTCCGACCGAGCCGCATTCCGCTCTAATTCGGTTAGTTTCGAAATTGGATGACGTCGAGCACGATGGGAAATCGCGGCTCCAGCGCGTCGTCCGCGGGTCTGCTCTTCTGGCAAGCAGCCTATGCCCAGGCGCTGTGTCGGTGACGGAGCGCACAGCCAGCGCGGCTCCACGTGTGCGTCACAGTTCGTGCTTGTCACGCTTGTTGGCCAGCTGCAAGGCAAAGCTCCCGAGGAGGTTTGGAGAAGAAGGTCGTAAGGGGTTTCAAGGAAACCTCCTCGAAAGCTGTCGTTTTCGTTAGGGCTTGTAACCATGCACCCAACCTTCATTAACTTCGCTATGGCCATTTGATGAGCTTGTAACTCCGAACATATGCATTTTTCTTACACACTTCCATATGCCTTTGAATGTATATTCCACAATCAGCTTTCAAAAACGGCGGTAACAGGAACTGTGTATTTACATGAAGGTTCAGTATCAACCTAATCTATTGTTAGTCCCTCGATCAGCAACATTTTTTACCACATGCTTTCTTCCCAATGGGGCAGCAGCCCCACTGGCCTTTCTTGTTCTGATAACACCCGCCTTTCTTGCAACACATGACTCCTCCACAGCAAGGGTACTCGTGAGAATCCTGCGAGGGAAGAACATGTTCCCGTCATATTGTGTTTGCAAGCAGAAGGGCGAGAAAATGCAAGACGGGAGTGATTGAGAGCAGAAGTACCATGGTTCATGATGGATGGTCTTACCGTGCAGCAGGCACCGCCGCAGAAGACATCAGGAGCGCTGCAGCCAGCGACGCCAGAGTACGGGCAAATTCCTGATCCCTCTCCGCACGACTTGACCCTGACCTTCTTCAGCTCTCGCCTGTGCGCTTGCACCTCTCGCGCTGGCGCCTCTACTAAGATTGCGCTCGCCGGTTTCACCGCTGACCTTGCCGCCGCTTCAGCGATCGCGCCGCTGCTGTCGGCCACAGCAAGGCCGGTGCTCAAGCTGACTGTGGCGACGAACAGAAGGCAGGCGAAAATGAAGAACGTCCTCATAATTGGGGGGTTTCGAAAGGCTTGCTTAGTATGCGGAACGATTATCGCGCGCTGGCTCGGAATTACTAGACGCTGGAGCAGAGGATGCATTGAACGCCAATAAAACGGGAATATATATATTGGCAGCAATCGGCGGCTCTTTCGAAGCATCGGTGGCTCTTTCGGAGCACCGACGCGTTAGCCAGTTACGCGAACGAAAGGCGCCACGGATCGAGCTGTTGTTTCTTGCGTCCGCCATTTCACCGTCTACGGGTACGTTGAAAGGAGCAACGCCGACGGCTGATGGATGGAAGAAGGGCGGAATGGGCTTGTGGGAAGGAACGCTGCTGCAACCCAACCAGTTCAGTGGGTGATCTGATCGGGGCTGCTGCCTTGGCTTGGTCGGTCCAACTTGTGCTGTGCACCTGGTTTTCCCGAGGCTGCTGTGGTGGTCTGGAGGCGTGGTGCAGCGCCACTGCCAAAGTTGGCATCGCCGTGCTGGTGGTGATGTGTGGTTTGTCCCGCACACGTCTGACTCACGGCATGAACAAGTGGTGGTCGGTTACAGGCTGATCTGACACGCTGGATGGCGGAGAGAGTCGCAGGTGGAAGGGTCGAACCACGCGATTCCATGCGAGCGACACGGGTCGATTCGTCTGTTGGACGAGTCTGCGGAGCACCGCAAGAATCACAAGTCGTCACATTTCATGCTGTCAGTCAACTGATGTTGCTGTGAAAAAAAAACAGTGCAGAGGTAAGGAATATGCTGCTGTTAACATCTGTTACATCCAAATTAGGAATTTGATAACCACATCTCCAACTTATGAAACAGTTAGCAATGTCACTGACTGCTCCGAGGAAATCCGACAAGTTTCATAAGTTTCTCAGATATATATTGGAACAAAATTGAAGATGATCTTGGTGGAAATCATGAAATTGCATGAGTATGCATGATATTGCTAGTTTGTACTAAAAGATGTCACATCACACACATTCATTATGGCTCAAATTAGGTTTCCCACAATCAATAATCTCGCCCTTTTCTTTTCATATTGGGCCTATGCCAAAGCATGAGAATCGGATGCAATACTGTATTTGCAAGTGGAACGTGAGTGTAACCAGCAAGTCATGAAACTCAGTTTGTTATGATAATCTCTGAATATGAATCGAGTAATGCAATAGTGAGGTCGTGATTAAAGTGTGTCGAGTACAAATGACGCACATGGTTAAATACAAGCACAACTAGTCTAGCAAGATTTTCTTGAGGAAGGCCACGAAATATACGCGAGGTGGTTCGAGGCGCCTCGGGACTCGGAAGTGTCGGACGCGACAACGCGTGTAGGCTTGGGGTCTCGAACGTAGTTCGAACCTGAATTGTCGGGTCGAGCCTGGACTTCCTAAAGTCAGGGTTGTACTCGTTATTAGCGAGACTCGATAAGGAAAAGGGTTTTTCCTTACACCTTCCCCCTTCCTGGACGAGACTACCCACATTTGGGGCAGCCCGATCGTATAAATAGGCCTGCACCAATGGGTGGTTGTCAAGGGTATCAGCTGAGACCCAGATGTCGTCGTCGCACGTACGGTCAACCCAACGAACCAGAAATTCCAAAACCCATCGACCTTGGTCTCGGCGGATTCGGTGGGAGAGGATTTGCTGTGGTTCGGTGGTTGGCTCACGGAAGGGTCTGATGGAAGGGTAGAGTCGTTGACGGTCGGGATCAGTCATGTTTGCAACGAACTGTCAAAGGAGACTGACGTTGAATGAATCGTGGATACGCCAGTTGTCCGGTAATAGTAAATTGGCGGTGACAGGTGTCACCACTCGGACAATCCGGAAGGGCCCACAAAACCTCAGGCGGAGTTTATGTGGTAAATTCAACCCCAAATTCTTGGTGTCCCGAAGGACTAGTTGCCCAGGAGACAAGGGTAAATCTGGTTGATGCGTGTCCGCGTACCGTTTGGCCGTAAGGTTGGCTTTTGAAATGGCCTTACTAGCGTGTTTCTGTGCAGTCGGTAAATCCTTGATGAACTGTTGCGATCATTGGGCAAGGCTCTCAACAAATGGTGTAGTGGGAGTCGTAGGATTTAGACAGTAATTCAGGTAGAACGGTGATTGGGCAGTTGTTGACGAAGGGGCGTTGTTATACGCGAACTCGATGAGAGGAAGGGAATCTTCCCACTGGGTCGGGTCGGTACAAGTTATCCGTATCAGCTGCTTCATGGTCTGATTTGTCCGTTCGGTCTGACCGTCGGTCTGTGGGTGGTAAGCCGTGGACACATGGAGACGTCTACCGTATTATTCTCACATTTCCATCCAGAAGTTGGACGTGAATCGGGGGTCGCGTTCGCTCACGATCGCCTTCGGGATTCCGTGCAAGCGAATGACGATTGAGATGAACACCTTAGCGGTTTGCTCGGCTGTGATCGTCGTTCGGCATGACGCGAAATGAGCTATTTTGTGTATCGGTCAACGACCACGAGTACTGCATGATTTCGGGATGCGCCGGCCGGCAGTCTTGTCATGAAGTCCATGGAAACGTGTGTCCAGGGCTTGGTGGGCGGTTATAACGGTCGCATTAATCCATCTGGCTTTTGGCGATAGGATTTCGTCAGTTGGCGGGTGGGACATGAGGCCACATATTTCCGCACGTCGTGGCTCGCATTCGGCCAGTAATAATGACGTTGAAGCATTTTCAATGATTTATCAACCATGAAATGTCATGAGCAATTAGAATCATGAACCTCTTGTATCAGAAATTCCTGTAACAGTCGGTAGGATGGAACCCAAATTTGGTCAGTACTAGCTTTTGGGTGGTAGTGGCCTCGTTGAGTCATCAGGGCTTGGTGGCCGTCACAGGTGAAGAGAGGATCTGTATTGTAGCCATGGGTAAACAGTCCAGTTAGTAGCGGATTAGCTAGGGCGATTAGTACGGCGGTTGTATGGGCAGTAGGGCGGGAAAGGGCATCGGCAATATTATTTGCCCCCTACTTTTAGGTGACGTGGTAATGGAAGTTGGGCTCGAGATATTCAAGCCATCGAATCTGTCGTGGATTGAGGGTCGGTTGGGCTCGAAGGAACTGTAGGGACTTGTGGTCTGTTCAGACTGTAACGTCGGCACGAGATAGGTAGCAGCGCCAGGTTTTGAAAGCATTGACGATGACGAGCATTTCCTTGTCGTGAACCGGGTAATTCCGTTCAGCGCATTGGAGTTTCCGCGAGTCGTAGGCGATTGGCTACAGGCCTTCGCCAAAGTCCTGTAATAGTACCGCGCGAACGGCAATGTCGCTGGCGTCCGTAACCAGTTCGTATGGGCGGTCGGGGTCGGCGATACGAAGAACGGGTGGTGTCATGAGGAAAGTTTTCAGTTGGTCAAACGCAGCTTGCTGTCTCTCCCCCACTCATAAAAAACTCCCTTCTGCAGCAAGTCGGCTAACGGGGCTGTTGACTCCACCATTTTAGAGATAAAGCGGCGCACGTGGTTGACGAACCCCATAAAACTCCGTAACTCCTTGGCATTCGTAGGCGGTTCCCAGTTGCGAATAGTGTCGATCTTTTTTGGGTCAATTTTAACGTCTTCGGTTGAGATGACGTGGCCCAAGAATTCCAGCTCCTCTTTTAAGAACTCGCACTAAGAGCCCTTGATGATGAGTCGGTGTTGATCGCAGAGGGTAAAAACTGCTTCCAAGTCCGTTAAATGTTGTTCCCGCGAGGTGCAGTACACCAGGATGTCATCCGGGTAGACGATAAAGGACTTGTCCAGTAGCGAGCGGAAGACTTCGTTCATGGTTCGTTGAAAAGTTGAGGGTGTGTTCCTCAGCCCAAACGACATCACTGTATACTCGTAACTTCCGTAATGGGTTCGAAAAGCAGTCTTTGGAATATCAGCTTCGGCGATACGAATCTGGTGGTAACCTTTTCGTATATCAATATTGGAAAAAATCCAGGCCCCGCGAAGTTGGCCGATGAGATCGTCGGCTCGTGGAATTGGGTAACGGGACTTGATGGTGATGTTGTTGAGCGCTCGATAATCGATACACATCCGTAATCCTCTGTCCTTCTTTGGGGTGAAGAGAATCAGTGCAGCGAAGGATGACGTGGATGGGCGGATTTTTTTTTTTTTTTTTTTTTTTTTCTCCAGCAGATAATCCAGTTACGTACGCTGCTCCATCAGCTCTGGTTGACTCAACCTCCATTGCTATCGGACGGTTGGTTTTGCGCCAGGTTCCAGCATAATTTTGTGGTCGTGTGGTCGTTCGGGCGGCAGGCCAAGCGGCATGTCATCAGGAAAAATCGTATCGTACTTGCGCATGATCTTTGTCAGGTCCTCAGGTACAGTAGCACACAGCTTCTCCAGGTCGGTCAGTTCAGCCACCCCCATTGATGCGATCCATTGGACGGCGTAGATGTCCACGCCACGTGCCCTTACTGGCTTGATAGTCACGTTGTTCACTAGTTTCGACTGAGGGTCGGGTGGTTTCCACTTCGACAGTCGTCGCCACTCGCCACCCTACTTCAAACGAATGTCGTCATTCCTCATATCGATGCTTGGATTGTACATGTGAAGCCAATCGTGTCCCATGAGCACATCGCAGCCATCCAATGTTATCGCCAACATCTTCATGTCGAAACTGACCTGGCTGCCGCAATCAATGCGAACGTGTTTTACCTGCTCCCGTATTACAAGTGGCATGCCGTCGACTAACCTCTTATCAATCTCGGACATACACCTCTCCATTTGCAGTTCCAATTTCTTCGCTCTTATCACATCGAACAAACTGTATGATGCTCCACCGTCCACAAATATTTTTAATCTAGTGTTGCCAACGTGCCTTTCCAACAGCACTGGGTAGTCAACTGGTTCACTCCCATTTAACCAGGCGTGGTCAATCGCATAGATCGGTGGGAATACGGGCGACGAAGCCTAATCAGTAGGGGGCCGACTACTACTGATGCTGTCCATTTCGTGACTTCCTTCCGTTGTTAGCTCCCAATTTCTGCAACTCCGGACAGTCCCGCATGATGTACCCCGGTTGGTCACATTTATAACACTTGCCATAAAATATGTTATCTGACGGTGTCGCCACGCCGATGATGGATGGGTAAATGTTCTGCCCTCGAAAACGGCTTCCCTCCCGAAAATTCATCCTCTGCCATACACTGTTCTCGTCCCACGCCTATGCGACCTGCTAAACTTCCAGGAACGTCGCCGGGCGGCGCATGCGAATTTCGCGCTGGACCTTCGGTTTCAGCCCTATAACGTATCGACTTGTCTTCTCCGTCTCGTGTAGATCGTCGATTTCATCGCAGATGGCGGTGAAAGATGACGTGTACTCCAGCACTGAACCCAATTGATGCCAGCCGTGCAGCTTCACACGAGCGTTTTCGCATGCGGATACATGCTCGAAGCGCCGGCGAAGCAGTGCACCCCATTGTTGCCATGTAGGGATCTCGGCCACTCCAAACAAGGATCCTGTAGAAGTTGAAGCCAATCAACGCTCCCTGTCCATCGCCTGTTGCCGGTCTGCTGGAGCCCCTCGTGGCGTTACATACTGTCAACACCAACTTAATGCACCGCCAGTATTGTCCGCGTATTAAAGACACCGCCAGTTTGACGCGTGTCTCATCGTTGTTGACGTCAGCGGCATTGAAGAACAGTTTCGTGGCAAACAGCCACCCACTCAGCGTGGTGTGTTTTTCCAGGGGGTTGAACGGGGGGGGCATGGCATGCTTTATATTCACAACTGCCCGTCGCTCGCTCGAACTGTTGTCACGTGTCGTTGACGTTGCCTGCGGTTGATGCGCGCTCGCACGATAATCGTCCACGGTAACAGGCGACTCCTGACGCGTCGCATCACGCGTCTGGCGAAGGCTCACATTCTTCTCTTTCAACACAACAAGCTCGAGGGCCATGGCCTCCACCTTCGCCATCATTTCGCCAACCTTCATCGTCAGTACGGATGCGCCTGCTGCCGCCTCTGACAACTCAGCTATTTGCTCGGGAGTCATATTTCTAGTAACACGGCGATGATGGTTATTGACAATGAATTACCCTAACTAGCTAACGCTACTAAATACACTATGGGCACCTGTAGTGTTAGAGACGTGGAGCGCACACGACAAAATAGGCGGAACTGAAAAAGTTCCTGCACGACCGCTGGACAACTCCTGTCTCCTAACATGCAAGGTCCCTCGAAAAACTACCTCACTACGGAAACCTAAATGGGCAGGAACATAGCTCTGATACCAGCTGTTATGATAATCTCCGGATAGGAGTCGAGTAATGCAATAGTGAGGTCGTTATTAAAGTGTGTCGAGTACAAATGAAGCAAAAGACTAAATACAAGCACAGCTAGCCTAGCAAGAGAGCCTCGAGGAAGGCCACGAAACACACGCGAGGTGGTTCGAGGCGCCTCGGGACTCAGAAGTGTCGGACGCGACGCCGAGTGTAGGCTTGGAGTCTCGAACATAGTCCGAACTTGAATTGTCGGGCCGAGCCTGGACTTCCGAAAGTCAGGGGTGTACTCGATGTTAGCGAGGCTAGATAAGGAAAAGGGATTCTCTTTACACAGTTGAGAATTGAACAATGACATGTAGCACTGCTACTGCGCCCTGACAAATACGCAGCCATTCCTGATCAGAGCGTCAGAGCGTACCTTACGATTTTCGTCCACACAACAGTTCTGGGGATCTCTTTTGTGAGACCCGAATAAAACGGGTGTATTTGAAACCCTAGTCGTCGTTATCCGGGTAAGGAGAAAAATGGCGCTTCAGTCCCGAGATTTGTCCGTGATGACAAACGCTCTAACGAAAAGTTTCTAGGTTCTTCAAAGGAAACCACGTAAGAGTACTCCTCTCCGCTTTTATGATTCTATCTCTGGAACTTAGTTCCTGGACTGATTTGCCTTGGGGAGAGGGAATGGAGGGGGGTTTGGCGGGTGGGATGGTGTGAGAAGTTCTGGTATCCGTGTTTGCCATAACTTGATCCGTACTTCATGGGTTCTGATCAAAATATACCCATGAGAATCCGGATTTATGACAATCGAACACGCCGCAATCCGATTTCGGTAGAAAAATCACCCGTTATTATGTCAAAATCCGGATAGTTACCCGTATAAAAAAGCCTTGTTCCTGATTTGGTGCTCGATTTGTGTCAAATAGGTGGGGTGTTTTGAGCCATAGGAGTAATCGAGGCGACAAATTGCGTGGCTGCCGTCAACTTTTGGCAGCACAATGACCGCTGCATCAAACGAGTGGTGTAAGTTCTTGTGCCGCGTACTCTTGTGGAACCGTAGCCGCAAATGAAGTTGCTGCACACGCTGGACCCATCAGAGACGATGCAAAGATGTGCAGTGTGGATAAGGTCCTGGTTTGTGACCGAAAAAAAGATCGGATTGCATGGGCTAGGGTTTCAGTTGTTGTGGCTTCTCGAAGGAGCAAGTTGCGTCGTGAGGAGTGGATTTCGGGCAGCTGTGACGGACACAGCGAACCTCGAGGACGAGAAATGATGTGGGCATAATTTACACCAACAGACAAATGTTGCCGTTGGCTCCGAGGCAGTCTCCGTACCTCCGTCCCCGCTTGGGCTGGGCAGCTCGGAGGCGAAACCAGCAGCCCGAAAGTGAATTTCCAGCTAACGAGGCTGGATGCTGCAGGCGTTATTGCCGCCGAAGCAACTCCGTTTGGTCAGCAGGTTTGGCATTTTGTGACAGGCTGGCAAGCTTTGGTTTGGTTGACTGGATGACGGATCTCCCGTGGCTGCCACCCTCAAGCCCTCGGGCGCAGGCGCAGGCATCTCACTCAAGACTGTTGGCAAAGCAGCCCGCCAGCAGCACTATTCCCCCCAAACCTCCCCCTCCCCCAAGCCATGGCCCCCAACCTTCCCCCCCCCTTCGCCCCCACGCCCCCCCCCCCCCCACAACCTCATCCGCGCGATTGCTGCCTGTGGAAAGTCCGTCCATGCGGTTCAAATCGGGACGAGATTGGGTGGACGTCATCGCAAGAGGCGGGGAAGGGAAGCGTCGAGGTCGCGGCGGGCAATCCGCTCACCACAAGGGATGAGGGAGAGTGGGCGCGAGGTGAGAGGCGCACGCCACTCCGTCGCTCCCCTGGCTGGCAGCTCCGGCCGGGGGGAGAAGGATTCAGTTCAGGAGGAGAAGCAGTGAGAAGGATTCAGGGGAAGGCAGCCCACAGGACTGGTCACTGGAGGCGACAGAGGAGAGGGGGAGGCCTGGAGCTGAAGCAGTGTGAGAGCGCCAAATGCAGGGGGGTTGTAAATACCAGCGTCATTATTTCCTTTCCGTTGCTTCGTCTGAGATTACCTAGGATGTCTACTGGAGCTCGTCTGTGCTGGAGGAACGCTAAACCCACCTATCTTCGGTTGTTGCGCTCTTAGATCTATTGTAGGAGATCCTTCTGTTGGAGTTAGGCCTGGTTTCCTGGTACGATTATCAGTTTCCGACTGTTCATTTTCCCTGGAATCCCTGATGCGACGGTGAAAATAGGCAGCACCTGTTGATCCTTCCTCGGACAGGTCATTTAGCTTTCGTGCGGTTTTCCCGCGAATATCTTATAATAGAAAACAAGTCTCGTCGGTAAGTTCCTTGTTCGTGCGAGCGTGGAATGGCGTCGCGGGAGAGCGACGTGATGGCGTCACTCGCGGAGGACTTCCCGTCGCTCAAGGCCAAGTGGGTGGTCATGCAGCACGCCAGGAAGCCCGGCACCATCTTCGACGACCTCGCCTTCGTGTGAGCTCCGCTCATGGCCTTGAAGCTCCGCACATGGCCTTGAAGCTTCGCTCATGGCCTTTCGAAGCTCCGCTCATGGCCTTTCGAAGCTCCGCTCATGGCCTTTCGAAGCTCCGCTCATGGCCTTTCGAAGCTCCGCTCATGGCCTTTCGAAGCTCCGCTCATGGCCTTTCGAAGCTCCGCTCATGGCCTTTCGATGCTCCGCTGGAGGCCTCGTTGATGGCTTCTATGCTCCGCTAATGGTTTCCTTAACTTTTTTCCATGGATCAGGATGCATGTGCCGTACTGCTTCGGCGTGCCGTTTCCTCATAGCCCGAAGCATCGCTCCGTGCATCTGATAATTTCCCTGTTCCCTCCAGCCCCGAGCACGACCTTCTGGATTCCTCGTGGCTCGACCCCGCGCACGACGCCCCCAACAAGGCCCCGAGCAAGCAGGACCGACCGGCCTGGCAGGTCAATCTCAGACCCCCGCCGCCCGCATCCACCGACGTCGCCCCCTCGTCTCTCCGCAATCCCCCCCCTCCCCGTGACGACAATCTCGATTGCCTCCTCGCGGCGCAGCTCTCCCCGCCCGACATGGCAGCGCCGGGGAACGCGGGGGGAAGCGCGGCGGGTCTTCGCGAGGACGAGATGGAGGCTTGGTTCCAGTACCCGCTGGGCGAGCCCGTGGAGGGTTTCGACCGGTTGAGAGCGGTAGAGGGGCTTAAGGTCGCGGATGGCGGGTTAAGGCCGGAAGGATGGCGCGGAGATGAAATCTCCGCCGTCGATCTTGCGAGGATGAAGGGGGACGGGGGGTTGTTGTGTTCCGCTGCGCAAGGTAGCCACGCAAACCTTGCGGAGTTTGCCGCGCCTCTTTCGCATGTCGGAGCTGGCGCGGACGCGGGCGCGCGGGCTGCGGGGCCTTGCGGAAGCTTACAGGCGCAGCAGCGCGCCGGGCCGGTTGGTGGTCTTGCGACTGAGGTGGGAGGCGGAGGCGCGGGGAAGATGGGCGGAGTGAACAGCATGGTCGCGGCGACGCTGCTGGCGCAGAAGCGCGCCCTTGGCGGACTTGGCGGAGCGGATGCCAGCGGCGGTGGCGCAGGGGGGAGGGGCGAGAGCGAGGCGCAGATGTTTAACCAGCTGCGGATGCAGCAACTGCAGCAGCTGCAGCAGCAGCACCTGATGCAGCTGAGAGCGAGTCGGCAGCAGCAGCTGCAGGGACTGCAGGAGCAGGAGAAGGAGGAGGAGGATGTGTTGCAGCAGCAGCAGTTGCTGCTGCAAGAGCAGCAGCGACTGCGACAGCAGCAGCAGCAGATGAAGCTGAGGCACATGTGGCAGCAGCAACTGCAGCAGCAGCAGCAGCAAGGGGACGAGCATGCAGTGTTAGCGCAAGCGGCCCAGGGGGATATGCAGAAGAGCCAGCAACAGCAGGCACAGCAGAAGCAGCAAGTGCCGCAGCAGCCACAACCGCAGCAGCAGCAGCAGCCGGCTCTGGACGTTCGTCCGCAGGCGTCGCAGCAGGTCTCGCGATTTCCCATCCCCGCCAGTGGCACCTCCGCTCGGCTCAACTTCTCTCACTTTTCCCGCCCCGCCGCACTCTACGGCCGCGCCAACGCCAAGCCCATAGGCGCAGCCTCCCCCACCGCGCCCGCCGTCTCCGCTGCCCCCTCCGGCGCCATGGGCGCGTCGTCGAGTGCGGCGCCTCATCCCAGCGGCAGCGCCGGCATCGCGGGTGTGAGCGCGCGCCTCACGAATAAAGCACTCGCGGCTCTTAAAAATGGCAAGCTCGCGTCGCGCTCCTCCGCGTCGTCCGCGGCCGACTCCAACACGCACGTCGTCGCGCCGCCCAGCGTGCCGCCGTCACCGCACGAGGGGACCGATGCAGCGGCCGGCACGGCGGCAACTGCGGCGGCGGGCACGGCGTCAGGAGCGGCGCGCTCGTCGGCACCGGGTGCGGCCGCCGGTGCCGCCGCGGCGTGCCGGCCGCTGCCGTACGCCCCTCTGAACGTGTCGCGTCAGCAGCAGCAAGATCAGCCGCAGGCGCCGCAACAGCCGGCGGGACCTGCGGCGGAGCGGTCGCCTGACGCTGGGCACACGTCGACGGTGACGAGCAACGCGCCCGCGGGCTGCGGCGCACATGGCGCGCAGAAGGCGGAAAGAGCCGCCACGGACAGCTCTGGAATGGTGAGGCGCGCGGAGGAGGGCAGCGGAGGGGGGAGCGGGGGAGGCAGCCCGGGGGGAGGGAGCGCGGGCGAGGGCACGGAGCGGACGGAGAGAACAGGTCAGGCGGAGCGGCCTGCGCACACTGCTAGCATGGGCGGAACGAAGGACTCGTGGCTGCCCGGAGGGAGCCGCGGAGGGGCGCGGGGAGGGCGGAAGCGGGGGAGAGGAGAGGCGGACTACGCACGGACTGAGGATTTCCCTGAGGAAAGCCTGGATACGCGCAGAACGGGCGCGACTGGCGCAACGGGCGCGACGAGCGGGGCGGGGCGGAGAAGCGGAGCGGAAGGCAGCGCGGCGAAACGAGCGCGAGCCGCTGAAGTGCACAACATGTCGGAACGAGTGAGTGGGGGGGTGCTGAGGGGGCGCGGGAGAATGGGGGCCGTTGCGGGGAGAGGGCGGGAGGGAGGGGTGAGGTTGTGGGAGAGAGAATGCGTGGAAGGGGACGACCTGGTTGGCTTGCCTAGGCGGCATGGCATGCTCCCCCATCGTGCGTCGTTGTAACCCCGTTCTCCCATGTTCTTGCCAAGGTGATTTTTTAGGTGACTTTTGAGTCGACTCAAAAGTCACTTCGTGCCCAGCCGCCCTTTCCCCGCCTGACCTGTTCCCCTCGTCTCAACTGTGCTCCCGTGCCTTCTCTCCACCCCCCTGTCCGTGTGTTGTGTTGCGCGCCCGTGGGTCCACCAGAGGCGGCGGGACCGCATCAACGAGCGCATGAAGGCGCTGCAGGAGCTCATCCCCAACTCCAATAAGGTCAACCTCCCCCTCTCCTCGCCTTGCCCTCGCCCTCCTCGCTGCCTTCCCGCGTGCTCGCCCTCATCCTCTTTCTCTCAGTGCCCCTCTCTCGCTCTCTCGAGGTCTCCCTCTCCGCATCTATCTACCTCCTTCCCTCCTTTGGCCACCCTCTCCCGTCTCCCGTCTCCCTCCCACCTCCCACTCCCTCACCTACCTTCCCCACCCATCCCCGCGCTGCTCTTTCTTGTGACCTCATCCGTCGCACTGCCACGACACTTTGCCATTTTCCCTTTCCCCTGTACTCTCAAGCTGCCGTGGCGCACCTGTGCGGTATCTCACTGCCATTCCTCGTCTTCCCTTTCCTTCCCTCGCCTTCCTTCCGTCCCTTGATGCAGACGGACAAGGCGTCGATGCTGGACGAGGCCATCGAGTACCTGCGCATGCTGCAGCTGCAGCTGCACGTCATGTCCATGCGCACCGGCATCGCGCTCCCCCCCGCCCTCGCGCTCCCCCATTCCGCGCCCGCCCTCTCCGCCCTCCCTGCTGCTGCGGCGGCTGCTTCTGCCGGCCAGTCTCCCGCTCCTGGTGCTGCTTTGGGGGGGTTTGCGCTCGGGGGAATGGGGGGGATGGGGGGCATGGACGTGGGCATGGATATGGGCATGGGGATGGCGGGCTTGGGGGGGATGGGCGCAATGGGCGGAATGGGGGCAATGGGGGGAATGGGGGCACTTGGGCTGGGTATGGGGGGGCTGGCGTTGGGAGGCATGGGGGGCATGGGAGGCATGGGAGGTTTGGGTTTGGGCATGGGTACAGGCATGGGCATGGGTATGGGTCTGTCGGATCTTTCCTCCATACCAGCGCAGCAGAGGCTGATGATGGAAATGGCGGCGGCAGGGGAGATGGGTGCTGGGGGGGTGGCAGGGAGAGGAGCCGACGCAGCAGCAGCTGCTGCAGCCAGTGGGGCAGCGGCAGAGCAGAGCCACTTGCAGCAGCAGCAGATGCTGCAGATGCTGCAGCAGCAGCAGCAGCGGCAGCAGCGGCAGGGCGAGGCCATGGAGGGTGCGTCCATGTCGTTTTTGCCAGGCAGCCGCGAGGCACAGCTGATGGCGCGGCTGCAGGCGCAGCAGGAGAGGGAGCAGGCGCTGGCGAGGGAGGAGGCGAGGGAGGAGCGGGCGCAGGCACAGGCACAGGCACAGGCACAGGCGCAGCAGGCACGGCATGATCGCGAGCAGTTGCAGGCTCAGGTGCAGCAGGAGAGGGAGCGGCAGGTGGTGGAAGCTGGCATGAGGGGTGCGGAGGAGGCGGCTCAGAACTGCAGGGAGGGGCGGAGTGGTGGCATGGGGGGGGTGGCAGCAGGCATGGGAGGGGGAGGGGAAGGGGAGGGGCAGCGGCAGCTGAAGCCGTTGTGTGTGGACCCCATGGACGCGTATCTGGCGCGCCACCAACACATGCAATCGCAGCAGCAGCAGGTCAGCACCACCCGTCACTGGCTCTCGCATGCTCTCTCCTCTCTCCCCTTTCTCCACCTCCCCTTCTGCTTTGCCCTACCCCACGCCACGATGCCTCCCCCCATCCCCTGTCCACACTCTTTTGTCCCCGGGCCTAAATCCCATTCCCCATGCCCCTGTTGCTGCACCCCTGTCGTGTTCCCTCCCTCCATCTCCTGCTGTGTGCCTAGAGCACCACGTCAATAGGCTTGCTCTTCCCTCTCTGCCTCTCCATGCATGCAGGCTCTCAACCTGGAGATGTACCACGCCTTCCTACAACAGCAGCAGCAGCAACAGCAGCAATAGCAATAATTGCAGGCGTAAGAATAGTAGCAGCCGCAACAAGCGCCGCAATACGCTGCCGCTGTTGCCCTGCCGAATGTACGAGCAGTCTGAGTTACTAACACACAAATCAGCCCACAGATATTCGAAAGCAATGCTTTGTGTATAAAAAGCCCATTCTTAGGCATATATACCATATGCTTCTCTTTTTTTTTTTCCGATCATCAGATGTAAATTTGACATTTTATACTCTATTGTTGATAATCCCAACCAGCAAATACCTGGACAAAGGGGGGGATGTACGAGTCTAGGAAAACCCCATCTTTTGGGTGTACTTCCGAATGAGTGGAGCCCCGTGTCCCTGATTTGCCGGGAGCGTCGCAGGGGTTGCGCCTTTTCCCCAAGGGGAGAGCGGAGCGGAGGCCTCTGCGCGGAGAGATCAAGGTGTGTGGAACGACTGTCGCCGTCAGCGCAGCAGGGAAACTCGCGCGGAACGTTACTTGGATGGCGGGGGCGGGGGGGAGGAGGCGCTGGAATTGCCGTGCGACCCTCGGCGAAAACTCAAGTTTTTCGCGCAGAGGAGTTTTTTTTGTCGGCGATTTGACGTGACCCGCTAAAGCAGCACCCCCTTCCGTTCCGACGCAGTCTGCCAGTCAGCCAGTCCGTTAGTTGGTTCGCCCACCTAAGCTTAGGGGGCTGCTTTCTGCAACGAGGTGCATCTCTACATGTGCCGCGTGCGCTCGCAACTTTCATTTCGCCCACCCCTCAACCGCAGCAGGCACGCCTTGCACGCGATAATATATTTCACCCAGCAGCCTCCGCACGCACTCCGCGCTTCACTAGCTCGAGCCGTCTGTGCCTCTAGCTGCTGGTTCACTTCCGTAATCTTCGCCGCGAACCTGGAAAATAAGCCACACGAGGAACCGAGTTCCGTGTCTGCGTGAACTTTCTATCCGAGTTCCCTCGTTCATCGTCACAGCCGCGCGGACTTGCGCCACCTGCGCGCCCCGTCCGCGCGCCTATGGAGATACAGCTGGCGGCGGCAGCCGTCCGCGCGCTCGAGGCGGCGCTGAAGCGGAAGCTCGAGGGGGAAGTGGTCGGCGACTTTAACGTCAACGCTTCGGCGGAAGCTTCCGCGCTCCTGAAGCGCGCGCGCGGCAACCCCGAGGGAGGCGCGGCCACGCGGAGCGGCAGGCCCGAGGCTGGCGTGGCGGGGCGCAGCCATGGTTCCGCCGATCGCGGGGATGCTAATATCGGGGATGGTCATCGCGCGGAAAGCTCCAGAAGACCAGATGCCGGCCGGCCAGCCGCGCGAGGCGGCGCTGATGACGTCATACCAACGCGATCTGAGCTGGAGGCGATTTGGCAGTTAGTGCACTCGGGGTACTTCGCGGGCGGCGGGGAGGGGGAGCTGCGCGAGGGGCAGGGCGCGCACGAAGCGGCGGATTTAGCGGGTGCTGCGGGCGATAGAGGAGAAGGGTCGTTGCCACGTGGCGTGGGAACGGCTGAGGTGGCAGCGCGAGAGGGAAGGGCGATTCGGAAGGCGTGGGAGGAGTCTCTTTCCGCGCAAGGCGGGGGTGCGGGCGCGGCGGACAGAGGCGGGGGGGATCGGGGCGGAAGGGCGGATGAGTTTACGGGCGGCGGGGGGCAGCAGTCGTCTAAGAAGGGGCAGAACCTTGGGCCGCAGGCCATGGCGGCTCGGGTGGGTGCCTGGGGGGAGTTTTGGGGGAGGAGGAAGAGGGGGTTGGGGGGTGGGGAGGCGCTGGGGAGGTTGACGGGTTATGGGTGGGTTGGGGGATGTGGTTGACAGGTGATGGGTGTGGTTGTGGGCTGGCGCGTATAGGGACAGCTTGACCTACCAGAGTGGGGTTGATGTCTCGCGTCGCTCACGGTGTGGACCTACCACAGTTGGCGCCCTCCTCTCCTCATGCGCGCATGGGGGGGCTGCAGGGGCTGCTGCCTGCTGGGTTCCCTGCCTCGCATGCCCCCCGCCTCTCGCCCCATCCTCTTCCCCTTCACACTGATGCCTCTTCTCCGTTCAAACCGTCCCCGCCCCTTCCTCCCCCCCTTCCCCCCTCCCCACCCTCTCCACCCTCCCAAGATGCGGCGGGAGCGAGTGAATGCGCGCATGCTGGTGCAGCAGGGGCTGGTGCCGGGGGCTTTGCCTCTCCTGCCCCTTATCTCTTGCCCTCCCTCTTTCCCGTTCCACACGGCTGTCTATTCTCCGTCCAACCCGCCCACCCCACCCTCCAGATGCGGCGGGAGCGAGTGAATGCGCGCATGCGGGTGCTGCAGGGGCTGGTGCCGGGGGCGGCCACGATGACCACAGAGAGCTTCCTGCTAGAGGCCGTGCACTACGTGCGCTTCCTGCTGCAGCAGGTCATGGTACGCCTTTCTCCCACCTCCCACCTCCCACCTCCCACCTCCCACCTCCCACCTCCCACCTCCCCCCTGCTATTGAGTCGACTCAAAGCTGGTGCTGGGTGCACCAATGATGACCACAGAGAGCTTCCTGCTGCAGCAAGTCATGGTACATCCCCTCCTTCCCCCCTCCCATATCATCTCCCTCCTGATGCCTGCGCTAGCTAGCCCCCTCAATCCGTCGCCTCCGTTTTCTCTCAATCCGTTCTCACCTTGCTGTGAGTCCCGTTCTCTCAATCCGTTCTCCCTCCCATATCATCTCCCTCCCTCGCTCTGAGTCCCGTTCTTCCCCTTCCTCCCTCCCTCCGCTGCGAGCTCGCCTTTCCACCTCTCCTCTCCCTCTCTCTTCAACGCCGTGCTTTGGCAACTACGGCCTGTACTGTATCGTCAACTACGGTTTGTACTGTAGCGGCAACTACGGCCTGTAATGTAGTGTCGAATTGCAGCCTTGTCCCCCTGCATGTCGCATCGCAGCCCCCCATCTTTGACGACCCAACACGTTTCGCATTCTCACGCGCGGCCGCTCCCCCTCTGCCGCCCTTCTCACTCCCCTCTCCTCACTCCCCAAATCCTCCTGCCTCTCTCCTCACTCCCTATTGCAGGAGCTGTCAGAGCTCTACACCCCTCAGCACCGCAGTAGGGAGGAGGGGGAGGGGGACAGTGGGGAGGGGCAGAGCCGGGCAGGGGAGGGCAGAGCCGGGGAGGGAGCTGGGTGCAGCACGGAGGGAGGGGGTGGGGGGAAGGGTGACGTGGACAGTGAGTTGAGGCGGGAAGGGCTGCGATTGGTACGAGTGGATCGGCTGCTGCCGATAGTGGGGGTGGGGGGGCTGCTGGATTGCATTCTGGTGAAGCAGCAGCAGAGGGAGGAACAGCGGCAGGAGGAGGAGGGGGGGGATGAGGAGGGGATGGCGGGGGGAGGGATGGGGGGAGGGGAGGAGGGGGAGGAGGCGCAGGAGGGGGACATGTTGAGGGAGGGCTCCAATTCGCCCTTGTCCGAGGGGTGATGGGCGGATATGTGCCGCCCCGTGCCGTTTGGTGATGAGATTCGTGGTCTAACAAGTGAATAAATGTGGCTGGAGGGAGGTTTGCCAAGCCAAATGGCTTCATCAGTTGGGGTGTGGGGGGATTGGATTATGGAGCGTTATGAGGTTGGGGGAGGGGGTGGGGTCGTGGGAGGGTGGGGGGCGCTTGTTGTGTGACTAGGGTACTTCACCATGTGCCCTACCCACGCGACTCCCTTGGAGTCCTCATGTGGGCGCAAACACCAGAATCCACTCTTTGAGGTCGGATTGCTTGAGCCCTCTTGCGAATTTGCTCAATATATGGTGTATTTTATTTATGTATGAATGCTCCACACGTAACTGGTGTCGAAGCTGCGCTTGTATCGGGATTCGGGAATTTCTAGAAGGATCCGATCGGATCTCAACCAAGTCCCACCGCCAGGGCCCCCTGCCAACGCCTCCCCTCCTCCTGCTGCTGCGTCTCCCCTCTCGACGCGATTGGCTCATTCGAATCCATCGAGATTCGAGACTCACTCGCATTCCTGGGCTGACAGAGAGCAGACGTCTCCTGGGGAGGTTCACTTGAAACTCGCAACTCACTCGCCTCATTCTACTCGAAGCGGCGACGCGTTGATCCTCGTGCCAAGCGTTCGTAGGGCCTGCGACGACTCCACGGATTCCTGCCGCCATTCCCTTCACTGCTGCTACTCCCTTGGCTAGTGCCCACTCCTCCATGGCTGCCGTTTCCGCATCCCTCGCTTCCCGCGCCCTGCCTTCGCGGTGCAACCTCAAGCAGCGAAGCTCGGCGCGCTCTGCCGAAGCGAACTCGCTGCTCCACGTGTCGCCCATCAACAGGCTCAGGTGCAGATGGCTAGATTAGGGACGAGCAAGCGAGTCGCTGCTTGCCTGTTTGCTTTTTTCTCAACAGCAACCGCGTGGTTTACTCTCACTAGCAAGCGGGTCTCGCCACTATTGCTGACGTGGAGGATAGCCGCAACAGCGATTTCGTGCATAGTTTCCAATCATTTCTTCGTTTTAAGCATCACCCCGCTTCAAGCACCACTTGCCTCGCCTCTCTGCGACCCGTTCCGCGCATCCACTCTATCGTCGTCGTCGCAGGTTGTCGCATACCATCAGCCGGTCGCAGAGCCACTCTCGTCGCACATGTAAGTTGATGTGTCGCATGGCAATGTGTCGCATGGCAATGCGTCGCATGACAATGCGTCGCTTTGTTATGCGTCGCAGTGCCTCTGTTGTCCTGGGCATTCCTCCTCCGGTGTTGTCCTCTCAGTGCCTTCCATGCCTCCACATGCCACACCACTGCCCATGCCTCCACATGCCACACCACTGCCCATGCCTCCACATGCCACACCACTGCCCATGCCTCCACATGCCACACCACTGCCCATGCCTCCACATGCCACACCACTGCCCATGCCTCCACATGCCACACCACTGCCCATGCCGCACACCACTGCCCATGGCGCACACCACTGCCCATGCCGCACACCACTGCCCATGCCTCACACCACTGCCCATGCCGCACACCACTGCCCATGCTGCACACCACTGCCCATGCCTCACACCACTGCCCATGCCACACACCACTGCCCATGCCTCACACCACTGCCCATGCCTCACACCACTGCCCATGCCTCACACCACTGCCCATGCCGCACACCACTGCCCATGCCGCACACCACTGCCCATGCCGCACACCACTGCCCATGCCTCACACCACTGCCCATGCCTCACACCACTGCCCATGCCTCACACCACTGCCCATGCCTCACACCACTGCCCATGCCTCACACCACTGCCCATGCCTCACACCACTGCCCATGCCTCACACCACTGCCCATGCCTCACACCACTGCCCATGGCGCACACCACTGCCCATGCCGCACACCACTGCCCATGCCTCACACCACTGCCCATGCCGCACACCACTGCCCATGCTGCACACCACTGCCCATGCCTCACACCACTGCCCATGCCGCACACCACTGCCCATGCCTCACACCACTGCCCATGCCTCACACCACTGCCCATGCCTCACACCACTGCCCATGCCTCACACCACTGCCCATGCCGCACACCACTGCCCATGCCGCACACCACTGCCCATGCCGCACACCACTGCCCATGCCTCACACCACTGCCCATGCCTCACACCACTGCCCATGCCTCACACCACTGCCCATGGCGCACACCACTGCCCATGCCTCACACCACTGCCCATGCCTCACACCACTGCCCATGCCGCACACCACTGCCCATGCCGCACACCACTGCCCATGCCTCACACCACTGCCCATGCCGCACACCACTGCCCATGCCTCACACCACTGCCCATGCCGCACACCACTGCCCATGCCTCACACCACTGCCCATGCCTCACACCACTGCCCATGCCTCACACCACTGCCCATGCCTCACACCACTGCCCATGCCTCACACCACTGCCCATGCCTCACACCACTGCCCATGCCTCACACCACTGCCCATGGCGCACAGCACTGCCATGATTGTGCATGAATCCCATCAGTGTGCTGCGCGCACACCATCCTTTGCCCTTCTCCATTCCATCTCCTCTTGTCATCCCCCCTCCACCACCCTCCATTCCCCCACCACCCTCCATGCCCCCAGCATTCTCCATGCCCTTAACATGCTTCATCCTCCCATGGTGCCTTCCCGCCTCCCTCCCCTCTCGCCCTCATCTTGCTTCCCCCGTGCATTCTTCTGCACTCTTCTCAGCCCGTACTGTGAGGGCGTCAGGTGAATCTTCAGATAAGCCGGCATCTGACTCTCCTGCTGCAGCTGCTCCTTCATCTGTGGACAAACCCTCACCTCAGGTCACCTCATCGTCATCATCGGCAGAGTCTGCATCCGGAGTTCCCGTGCTAACCATCGTTGCGGGAGTCTTTGTGTTTGCCGTGGTGCTCTTTGCCCTCTTCTCCCTTGCAAGTGCCATTATTGGCCTGTTCATGCGCTGAAATGATTCGTTGTAAGCTTCGTGCATAGTATTTCGAAGTTGCGTTTTGTATTTATGCATTTAAAGTTTAGGTAATTCGGTGTATAGTGATTAGTTCAGCCCAAATTGACTGTACACTCGCAAGTATGACAGCGAAGCTTCTAGCTTGTACCGAAACTCGTCACCCTCACGTCTTTCCGCGGATTCCAGCTTCGCGAATTCGTATGCCACGCCGCCGATCATGGCGAAGGACGACACAAAGCGGAGAAAGCGGGGCGACGAGGACGGCGAGAGCGACGGAGAGAGGGACGGGAAGAGGAGGCGAGGCGATGGGGGAGGGAGGGAGCGACGGGAGAAGGAGCGAAGAGGAGGGCGACGGGAGAAAGGCGAGAGACGACGGAAACGACATAAGAAGCGACGGTCTCTAAGCGACGCAGATTCCTCGAGCCCTGATTGGTCGGGCTCCAGCAGGAATAGCAGCGGTAGCGAGAGGGATGGCAGCAGCGATGCGGATTCTGGTTCGTCGTCAGATGACCATAGTAAGAGCCGTGAGAGGCGGCGGGAGAAGCGGGAGAAGCGCGAGAAGCGGGGGAGGGAGAAGGAGAAGCGGAGAGGGAAGGAGAGGCGGAAAGAAAAGGAGCGGGAAGCGGAAGGTGGTTCGGCAGAGGAGCTTCTGGAGCGCGATTTGCGGCGGATGATGCGGGAGTTCCCCCTGGACGTGTCGCACGACCTCGTCCGCCTCCTAGAGCGCGTCGACGGCGGCGACGCGGTGGACGTGGGCGGCATTCCGGACCGCGCGCTCAAGAAGCTTCTCGGAAGCATCTTCGGCGCGCTGGGGATAGATTCAGAGGGCAAGAGCAGCAAGACGAGGCACCTGTACCAGCTGGCCAGCGCTGCGCCTCGCTGCCTGCCACGTGTCGTGCCGCTAGTGGCCAAGCTGCTGCAGAACCTGCCAGATCCCGATGCTGCTGCTGCTGGTGGTGATGGTGGTGGGGGGGGAGAGGGGAGAGGCGAAGAGGAAGCGGATGCAGAAGGGGTGGCGATGGCGGGCGCGAGGGGTGCAGAGAGCGACGCATTGGACGGACAGCAGGGAGGGGGGGAGGGTGGGAGGGGGGAGGCAGCAGCGGTGATAGGGCCTGCAGTGAGGGGAGGGGGAGAGGAGGGGGGTGGGGGGGTGGAGGCAGGACGAGGAGAGGAGTGGAGCGGGGACATGGCAGAAGCTGCGAGGAAGAAGCGGTGAGGCGCCTGGGGGGACGAGAGAGGCGTTTGGGGGGAAGAAAGGGGGGGGGACGTGCTTTTCCTGCTCCTTGCCCGTCAACCCTAAAGGGAGCAGCACACACTCCCACCCCCCCCGCCTCCTCCCCCTCGCCACCTGCCCCGCCTCACTCCCTCTCTTTCCCCTTTCTGCCAATCCCTCGCAGCCTGCCTTCTCGCCTCCCCTTACCCCCCCTTTTTTTCCCTCCTCTCTTTACTCTCCCTCCTGCGCGCCCCCCCTCCTCCCTCCTCGTGTCTCCCATCCCCGCCACGCCAACAGCAGCGCACGTGCAGCAACGCAAGCCATACGAGCTCCCCACCCTCCCTGCCCTCCCTTCCTCTCCTCGCCAATCTTTCCTCCCCCCCTCTCCCCCGTCCCCGCCCCAACTCTCGGGCCGGCAGGTGCATGGGTCCAGCCATGCCCACAGCAGCGCAGATGCAGGCAGCAGCCGCGCTCACGCGCGCCGTGGAGGATATGGAGTGAGTGGGGCGTGGGGGTAGGGGGGAGGGGGGAGGGGGGAGGGGGTGGCTCAAGGAGTATGGGGTTGGGGGGGGGGTGGGTTTCGTGAGGTGAGTGCAGCAGCAGCCGAGCCGAGCTCACACGGGCAGTAGAGGAGATGGGGTGAGTGGGGGGCGGGGGTGTGGGGGGCTGCAAGCGTTGGAAAGATTGGCCGTATAGCGAGGGGGGGATAAGGGGATGATAGGGAGAGGGAGAGAGCAGCATGGGTTTAACTGCTGCACCTGCACGAGAAGAGGGGGAGAGGCGGAGCATGGGTTCCGCCCTGGAAGTGGGGATGGGGGGAGGTTGGGGGGGGGGGGGGAGGGAAGATGGGATGAGGTGGACGGTGAGAGGGGAGGGGGATGGAAGCAGGAGTGCAGCATCGGCAACAATTCTCGGAATGGCAAGGCATGACTCCTGCTTTCTCGTCCCCATGGTCCTCCTTCCCCATCCCGCCATCTCTCTCGCATACTAATTCCACCCTCACTTGCACCTTTGTGCTTCCCCTGCCTCCCATGGGTACGTTACCAGCCTTCCCCCCTCTCACTGCCTTCCCCCCTCTCACTGCCTTCCCCATGTTCCCATCACCACCACCCATCATCCCCCCATCATCCCCCCATCGTCCCCCCATCATCCCCCATCACCCCCCCAACACCCCCTGATCACCCCCCCTCATCATCCCTCCATCACCCGCCCATCAACCCCCATGGAGCAGAGAGGCGGAGCAAGCGCTGGAAGACAACCCCTTCGTGGGCCCCATGTCGCCCGCAGCGGTAGCTGAACCGGCCAATGCGGCCATGGCAGCTGGCGCCGCTTTCACCTCCTAAACCCAGCCACCATTGTCCTCCCTCCCTCGACCCCCCGTGACCACATGCAGAGAGGCGGAGCAAGCGCTGGAAGACAGCCCCTTCGTGGGCCCCATGCCGCCCGCTGTCATAGCAGAGGCGGCCAATGCGACGCAGGCAGAGAAATACGAGGAGGTGAGGGTGTGGGGGGAGGTGAGGAATTCGAGGAGGTGAGGTTGGGAGGAGGTGGGGGGAATGACCAGATGAGGTTGGGTGGGAGGGAGGAGGTGACGGGAGTGGTGAGAGAAGATGGGCTGGCGTTCTTTATGCTGAGCTAGCGCCTCATGCTTGCTCGCATGGCACGCAATGCTTGATTTCTCCCAACAGCCTTGCTTGCACGCGTGATCTCTTGCACTTCGCACCGTGCTCGCTTTTTTTTCATCCCATTTCACGTGCGTCCACGTTCCTCTCTGGGTGGGGTGCATTCTGGACTCTAAACCCTGAGCCGCAGTCAGCCGTCTTGCCGGTTTGCACTGAGCGCCATGCCTCGTCTCACGCCTGCTCCTTGCTTCTCTGCACTCTCCACGCTCCCTTGCCAGGTGGGGCGTGGGGCCTGATCCATACTGAATCCGGAGCTCAGTGTGCATGCCATCGTGTCCTTCTCCCTCCCGTCTCCCATCTCATCGCTGCCTGCCCGCGTGCCCCCTGCCGCCCCTCCCAGGTGGAGCGCATACTGGACCCGGAGCTCAATGCGTATGCCATCGTGGGAGTGACGGCTGCTGCTGGCGATGGCGAGATCAAGAAGCGGTGAGATGAGGGGGGAGGGGAGATGGGGAGAATGCAGTTGACTGCTGCTGCTGCTGCTGATGATGATGATGACGACGACGACGACGACGACGACGAGGATGATGATGATGATGATGATGATGAGATGATGATGGCGACATGACGAGCCAGTGCGGTGGGGTGGGGAGGGAGAAGAAGAGTAGAGGAGGAGAGAAGGGGCTGCAGCTGAAGTGCTGCGTCCTTGCCAACACCCTTTCCCCTCCCTCCCTCCCGCCTCCTCTCCCACCCCGCCCCCCCTCTCCCAACCTCTTTCTTACCAGCAAGCACCACGCATTCTCTCCATGGCACCCCTCTCCTGGATGCTGACAATTGCAGCCACCCACCTTTTGCGTATGAAGCCGGTCCCTCTGCGCCGGAGCACGCGCATCCGTCTCCTTCCCGAAACCCCCGTCTCCCCAACTCGCCCCTTCACCTTTCCTCTTCTCCTCCCCCTCCCTGCCCAACCCCCACCCCCCTCCCCACCTCAGCTACTGGAAGGCGCCACTGCTGGTGCATCCCAACAAGTGCAGCCACCCTTGCACTCCCTACTGCGCTCTACCTCCCTCCCCAACACCCCCTCCCCCTCTCCTCCCTTTCTCCCCCCTCTCCTCCTCTCCCCCCTCTCCTCCCCTTCTCCCCCCTCTCCTCCCCTTCTCCCCCCTCTCCTCCCCTTCTCCCCCCTCTCCTCCCCTTGTCCCCGCAGCTACTGGAAGGCGTCCCTGCTGGTGCATCCCGACAAGTGCAGCCATCCGCGCGCGCAGGAGGCGTTTCTGCGGCTCAACGACGCGGTCAACCGCCTCAAGGACCCCACCAAGGTGTGCTGTGCTGTGCTGTGCTGTGCTGTGCTGTGCGGTGCTGTGCTGTGCTGTGCGGTGCGGTGCTGTGCTGTGACTCGCATCGTGTGAGCATGTTGGCGGGTTCAGGACGCAAGTGCCGCCAAACAGGGGCACAGGAGGCGTTTTTGCGGCTCAGCAATGCTGTGAACCAACTCAAGGACCCCAGCAAGGTGCGACAGGCTTAAAGCCCGAGCAAGGTGGCCTGTGAGGCCTAGGCTGGACGCGTCGCATCCAGCATTTTCAGGCTACCGTGTGTCCGCAATGCGCCACATGCGTAAGAATATGTGAACGTGTGCATCTCTGTGTGCCTGCATGCATGTGTGTATGTGTGCCTGCGTGCATGTGCGTATGTGTGCCTGCATGCATGTGCTTATGTGTGCCTGCATGCATGTGCGTGTGTGTGCCTGCATGCATGTGCGTATGTGTGCCTGCATGCATGTGCATATGTGTGCCTGCGTGCATGTGCGTATGTGTGCCTGCGTGCATGTGCGTATGTGTGCCTGCTTGCATGTGCGTATGTGTGCCTGCTTGCATGTGTGTATGTGTGCCTGCATGCATGTGTGTATGTGTGTGCCTGCATGCATGTGTGTATGCGTGTGCCTGCATGCATGTGTGTATGCGTGCCTGCTTGCATGTGTGCATCTCTGTGGGTCTGCATGCATGTGTGCATCTCTTTGTGACTGCACGCATGCATTTGCATGTGCATGTGTATACACATGCTGACATACATGCATGCCATTGCGTGCAGAGGTCGCTGGTGGATGCGGAGATTGCAGCAAGGGAAGAGAGGAGAGCCATGGAGGTGAGATATGGGAGGAGAGCCGTGGAGGGGAAGAGAGGAGAGCCATATGGGAGGGATGTGATGTGTGTTTCAGGGTGGTGGAGAGAGGAGAGCCATATGGGAGGGATGTGATGTGTGTTTCAGGGTGGTGGAGAGAGGAGAGCCAAATGGGAGGGATGTGATGTGTGTTTCAGGGTGGTGGAGAGAGGAGAGCCATATGGGAGGGATGTGATGTGTGTTTCAGGGTGGTGGAGAGAGGAGAGCCAAATGGGAGGGATGTGATGTGTGTTTCAGGGTGGTGGAGAGAGGAGAGCCATATGGGAGGGATGTGATGTGTGTTTCAGGGTGGTGGAGAGAGGAGAGCCATATGGGAGGGATGTGATGTGTGTTTCAGGGTGGTGGAGAGAGGAGAGCCATATGGGAGGGATGTGATGTGTGTTTCAGGGTGGTGGAGAGAGGAGAGCCATATGGGAGGGATGTGATGTGTGTTTCAGGGTGGTGGAGAGAGGAGAGCCAAATGGGAGGGATGTGATGTGTGTTTCAGGGTGGTGGAGAGAGGAGAGCCATATGGGAGGGATGTGATGTGTGTTTCAGGGTGGTGGAGAGAGGAGCGGGGAGCATGAGTGGGGGAGGGAATGATGGAGAAGAGTCTATTTATGAGGCGCCTCAAAAAAGGGTGAGCAGTTATTCCATCCTACCCTCTTTGCTTTGTCGCTTCCTTTATCTCCATCCTCCTGCGTACAGCTCTTCACTTTCCAGTTTCTGGGTTCACTTTTGAGTCAACTCAAAAGTCATCACGTTCCTCAATTGGGCCCCAGTTGGCCCTCACATTCCTCAATTGGCCCTTTCCTCTTTCCTCCCTCTGTCTGCTCCACCACACATTCTCTGCCCTCCCCCGCTCCTACCCCCGCCCACCCAGTCCGAGCTGAAGGCACTGAGAGAGGCCGCAGAGTGGCGCAAGCTCAGAGGTGGGTGGACGGGGGAAAGAGAAAGGGGGGGGGGGGGGGGGGGGGGGGGGGGCGGGGGGGCGGGGGGTGAGGAACGAGGAGGGGGGGTGTGGGACGGAACAGGGTGAGTTTGTGCAGAGGGTGATTGGGGGAAGTGGGGGGAGGCAGTTTTGTTTAGAAGGGAGTGTGGGTGGGGCGGGGGCAGCAGAGAGTTGTCGTTGCGTGCAAGCAAGGATGCGACCTGCTGTGTGGTGAGAGCAGCACGGCTGTGGCATCGAGGTGGCCTGGGGTGTGACGTCCCCACCCCACACGAAGCACTGCGCTCGAGCCCACACGAAGCACTGCGCTCGAGCCCACACGAAGCACTGCGCTCGAGCCCACACGAAGCACTGCGCTCGAGCCCACACGAGGCACTGCGCTCGAGCCCACACGAGGCACTGCGCTCGAGCCCACACGAGGCACTGCGCTCGAGCCCACACGAGGCACTGCGCTCGAGCCCACACGAAGCACTGCGCTCGAGCCCACACGAAGCACTGCGCTCGAGCCCATACGAAGCACTGGGCTCGAGCCCACATGAAGCACTGCGCTCGAGCCCACCGGCTAGATTGTGACCTCTCTTCACTTACTCTGCTCTGCGTTGGGCCATTCGTCCCTCGTCACCTCTCGTCCCTCGTCACCTCTCGTCCCTCATCACCTCTCCTCCCTCGTTACTCGTCCTTCTCTACTCACCCCTGCGTTGCTCTGGCCTTGTATCGCATGGTTCATCACCAATCTCCCTCTGTTGTCTCAAACCGTTCGAGACCCCCCGGGTGACTGTGAGCTGCTGGGGGCGGTGAGGGAAGGGAGTGGCTGAGGGAAGGGTGTGGGCGAGTGGAATGCTCTTGACTGAGGGAAGGGTGCGGCTGAGGGAAGCTCTTGACTTGCAGGGCTCTGGTTCGCCCATCGCCCATGACGCCATGACCCAGGCGAGGCCCTCCCAGGGGTGCATGCGCTGCTGGGGGCAGTGCGGAAGAGCGAGGAGAGAGGCTACCGTAGCACTCACCCCATTAACTGCACTCTATTTTCTTTGACTGCTTTCTCATTCGCCTCAAGCCAGGCGAGGCCCTCTCGGGGGTGCATGAGCAGCTGGGGGTGGTGAGGGAGGGAAGGGCGAGGAGAGAGGCTAACGTACCCCTCACCCCATTGACTGCTCTTTGACTGCTCTTGATTTTTCTTTGACCGCTCTGTATTTTCTTTGACTGCTATTTCATTCGCCTCAAACCAGGCGAGGCCCTCCCAGGGGACGATGAGCTTTTGGGGGTGGTGAGGAAGGGCGTGGAGCGAGAGACGTGGATGACTGAGCTGCCGCCAGAGCGACAGGTGAGAGCGCATGCAGGTGGGCATGGGATGGTGTGGTGTGGTGTGGTGTGGTGTGGAGTGGAGTGGAGTGGAGTGGAGTGTACCCATGGGCATGACTCACAAGCATGGTCGTATCTTTGCCGTTGGCCCATTTCTGAGACATCCTAAAGGCATCACCATGACACACCACCAGAATGCGCGCCCATCGACACCCATGCCCCACCCTGTGCTGCATCCATCTCTTTTCTCTATCCCTCCCTGCCCTGCCCCTCCTCTCCTCCCTCCGCGTCTTCCCCCAGGCGGGCCCGCCAGCTCAAACCAACACGTTTTTCAGTCGCAGTGACAAGGTGGGGCGTGGCGACACGTCAGCATGGACTGACACCCCCGAGCAGAGGGCTTCCAGAGCCAAGCAGCAGTGAGCACCACTCTGCCTTACCTCACCATTCAGCACCACTCTGCACCACGCTGCACCTCTGTTTATATCTCTGTTACACCGTTCGACCGTTCCCCCAACCCTTACTCCCACGCCATCCCCAACCTTATCTTAGTTACTGCCTGGAGAGGCTCAGTCCACGACCCCAACCCCAAAGCCCCAAACCCCAACCTTCACCCATACCCAGGCACATAGAGCCCCCGGTGCTGCCAATCAAACCAACCCTTTTCTCTCTCCCTGCAATTCCCCAACCCTAATCCTCGACCCTATTCTTGGGTACCTAGAGGCCTATTCCAGTGCCGCCAATGCACTTGTTCTCTCTAACTGCGATCTCCCAACCTTAACCCTGATTCCCCCTCACCCTATTCTCAGGTACCTTGAGGCCTATTCGAGTGCCACCAATGCCCTAGAGGGGCCGTCTGCTGACTCAGCAGCCGCCCTGCAGTCGCAACAGGACAAGTGCACGGCGGCACTAGTGGACAAGCTCGCCGCCCAGAAGCAAGCTGTTTCATTGGTGGAGCAACACCGGAAGAAGCAGGGCGAGGAGAGCAAGAAAAAGGAGAAGGAAAAGAAGGGGAAGGGGGAGAAGGGGAAGGGGAAGGGGAAGGGGAAGGGGGAGAGTGAGGGAGGTGGAGGGGGGGAGAGGGGGTGGCGGATGTGGGACAGGGAGAAGGACCTGGAGGTGAAGCCAAAGGCCATGAAGTGGACCGCAGACGGCATGGCCCAGGGGCTCTCGGGGCGTTTCTCGGGCAGCCAGTCGGGCAGCCGAAAGTTTCTATAGGAGCAGAGGCTGGGGGCCTTAGACATAAGATTCATTGGCACCTGACTGCAAGTTGGCAGGAGGTGAGCGACCAAGGGGAAGGGAGAGAAGGGAGAGGAGGGGAAGGGGTGGTGGATGTGGGACAGGGAGAAGGACCTGGAGGTGAAGCCAAGGTGACGAAGTGGACGGCAGACGGCATGGCGCAGGGGCTCTCTGGGCCGCTTCTCGGGCGGCCAGTCAGGGAGCCGTAAGTTCTTGTGGAACTCTTTTGCTGCGTGGCTTGGGTGAATTGCGCAGATTGGCAACTACATTTCCATTCTATGTAATGCTGGCTGAGCGTTGCACAATACTTTCCCCCAAGGTACCGGTATGGTGCCTAAGGGTACATCCCTACAAGTCACGGTTCTGTGGTTCCAGTCAGGTTTCTGTAGCAGCTGCTGACTCAGCAGTCGCCCTAGCAGGCACATGAATTGCCCATGGCAGCACAGGAGCAATTGACAGTGGCATCTACCGTAGGTGGCCCAAATCGCCACGGTACAGGCTGGAACACCAGATTTGAGACAATATAAGCCATTTATTGCAGGTGCAGAGCTTGACAGGCAAGCTGCATCCGATACAATCACCCAACGCCTCCACACATTCATCCTAGCACCAATCAGAACCTAGCATATTCCAGAGAGGGCCGAATAGAACCGAACAGAACCTACGAACTCCAAGCAAAGTAACAGCGCAGCAACGAGTACCTAAGGTTAGAACGCCAGGCGGTACGGACTAGCCCGAGAGACCCTACTAGTTGTTCCGTGGCGCGGGGGGGTAGTTAGTAGCTCTTGCAGCAGACGAACTGGCCGTTCTTCTGGCAGCAGCCGCCCTTCTTGCAGCACTTGTCGCCGCCGCAGCACGGGTACTCGGGGCTCTGCGCACCGCAGGCGCGCGGGGAAGGGAGAAACGGGGGAAAAGGTCAGCGAAATAGTCGCGCAGCACTTGCCGCCGCCGCGGCACGGGAGAAAGAACGGGGCACAAGACGATAAAAAGAAACGAGGCAGGTTACACAGAGAATATGAGAAGGCAAGGGGCATGCGGTCCAAACTTTGGACTTGAAGCCAGTGGAGCTTACAATGCAGCACGCGCCGCCGCAGTACTCGCTCGCGGGAGACGGGCCCTTCTTGCCAGAATACGGGCACACGCCGGTGCCGTCGCCGGCGGCGTTGCGGCGCTTCTTGTGCTTCGGCTTGTACGAGCCGGTCTTGCCGGTCGCCGCGCCGCTGCCGCTGCTGCCGGCCAGGATGCGACGCTCTGCGACGTCGCTTGCGTCGTCGCCGAGAAAATCAGCCACTTCGTCGGCGGCGTCGTCGAAGTTAAACTCGTCGTTGGCGATCGCCGACTCAACGTCGGACGCGGCGGTGCGCGCGGGGAGGAGGTGCAGCACAAGAGCCGTCGCGAGGAGCACGAGGAGGGAGAGGCGGAGAGCGTTCATATTGGCGCGCGGGTGGCGAAAAGGGCGGGCGGTAACGAGAAACGGTGGATGAAAGGAAGGCGCTGGACGATGCAGATTGAGAGATGGGTTAATCGAGTGCTGGTGGAACTTGACTGATGCTGGATGGTTCGATTGTGGCGGTGGCGTGCGGCATTTGTACCCACCAGCAGCTTTGCTAGCTACGCGAGTGTCGACTCGACGCGCTGCATTGCAGCCGTAATACGGAGCAGATTTGTCGGAGAGACTACTGCTGTACCTACTTGACCTGAGCCAAATGAGCTTGCTCTTTCAGTGAGGAAGCGGCTTGGTTGCGCGTGTCGCGATGCGAGCGGGGATGTGGTGAGCTCGTGTTCGTGCTGCTTCGCCTGGGTGCGCTGCGGCTGGGGGGGCGGTCCTCACGGCAAGAAATGGGGGGGTCAACTCAACTCGAGACGACCATGCTTGTGTGGGGAGCCGCGCGCCGCTGTGCTCGTCTTGCGGTCGCGTTTACAAGCTACACTTGAATTTTCAATCAGCAATTATCTTTACATAAAATCCACTCTTGAGGAGTCTAATTTTAATGCCCCTCACAATGTCCCCTAGTCGGAGACGCGTAGCCCAGAGAGTGAAATTTTCCTTAAGATTTAGGGGCGCACAGGAATAGTTATTTCCTGCTGTGTCGTAATCTTCGCATCGTATAGGAGTTCATGCGGATAGTGCCATTTGCGAATAACTGCGGTTGCTGCGACGAATTTATGCTTTACGAGAGGAGAGGGTAGCTTCTGTCAGTTACAAGAGACGGGGCCATTAGACTCTTGCTGGAACAGAAATCCAGCTTGAGAGCATTGATTCTCAGCTTCGCCAGCGTGATCCGCGTCGACATAGCTCGGTAAGGTCGGCATAGAGCATTGAAGAAAACAAAAACTGCAGTGCGTGACGTAGATTCTGCATATTTTCCCCTTCAGGTCGGCAGAGAAACTGAGCTAGATGACGGGTGCGTAGGAGTGGTCGGGACGGCAGGTGACGGCAGCGAAGAGGAGGCAACTGTCGGAGACCCACTGGGGTTGCCCTTGAGATCCTCGGGGAAGGGCCACAGGTGCAGAGCCTGGGGGGTTCTGGGCGCATTTACCCGCTACTTAAAGCCCGTGGCTATAATAGCAATCAAGAGGGCTGTTTAATTTGCTTTTGAACTTGGCACATGACTTGATCTTTAGAGTAAACGAAACACAATAAAAACACTTCGTTTTGCAAAGCGGAATCTGACCGTGGCGGTTTGGCGATAGTTTTTACACGAAACCATTCGGTGAATAGTGCAATACGCGTCGTGCGACCGAATTCGTGGTTCCGTGAATAGTGAACTTGCGAGAAAAACAGTGTTTTTTTGGCGAACAGTAGCTGATTCCGGAATTGCAGACATGGAAATCACTTGAATTCCCCAGTCATAAAGCGCCTGTATTTCCTCGTCGCAAGCTGCTCGCCCAAACCCGTCGTAGAAACTCCGTGCGATGCACACAGTGTTTTTGCGCAATGCACATCCAATGATCGTGTCGCAACAAACAGCAAAACGAGTTTTTTTGCCATTCTCCAATCAGCAAGCTCGACCAGAAATTGTTTCGACGCACTTTTCTTGTTCAGGCTTGAACTCAAAGCTGCCTTCCATTCTATACTTTCTAGTGGATTTCAAAGCAACAATTTCAAAGTGGTTTCTAGGTCTGCTATTTTAGCCGCGAGCTTTAACAAGCCCTTTTAACTCAGTGGTTAGTGACTAAGTTCTCACATAGTATCAGAGCCAAAGATCTTGGGTTCAATTCCCAATGTGTGCACCGGTAGAAGTGGCATTGCACCAGCAGAGATGCAAGGTCTTCCGTGCCTATCCCAGCGAGGGGGGGTGTCGGAGACGCGCTGGGGTTGCCCTTGAGATCCTCGTGGAAGGGCCACAGGTGCATAGCCTGGGGGGTTATTGGCGCACTTAACTGCTACTTAACAAGCCCTTTTAACTCAGTGGTTAGTGACTGAGTTCAGACAGCAGCCGCATTGTTAAAGGTAGAGTTGATAATTGGTTGCATTGAGGACAGTTGTGTCGGGGACATGGTTCTTGCTAAGGGTACAGTAGGGAGTGAAGACCGAGGCGGGAGTGGTGTCGAAGCGCTGGGCGATGGTCTCGGCATACTCGGCAGCGGAGATGTGGATAACATTAGTAGAGTAGGAGATGTCTGGACCGAGGAACTGCTTCACCTCAGTTGAGACTGTCACTTCGAGGCGCTCATGGATGTTCGTCTCAAAACGTTCAAGTAGGAGATCGCTGGTGTCGGTGTATAGTAGGTCGTATACGTAGACGATGAGGAGGATGTATTCGTACTTGTAATGCAGGCAATAGATCCCTGGGTCGTGTGGGAGAGCCGATGGTGAGTAAAATGGTATGCAGGTGTTGCTGCCACAGGCGGAGAGCTTGCTTGATCACGTAAAATGATTTCTCGAGGAATCAGACAAGGTTGCCGCCATCTCCATAACCGTGAGGTTGTTTGACGTAATTGACGGTGTCGATAAGCACGTAGAGCAACGTGGTCTTGACGTTTAGCTGACGTATTAGCACATACTTGCAAAGTGCAATGACGAGGAGGATGCGGATGGAGGTATGATGACTGACGGGCATGTAGGCTTGATTCTAGTACGATACATGCGCCAGATGTTGCCCGCCGCCATGGAGAATCTGAAGATAGCACAGTTGCAGGATGTGAGGCGGTATGAGCAAAGGCAGTGGCAAGGAGGCATGGGGAAAAGCCCGACCGTGGAGGAAGGGCAGGAGGTGTACCTGCGACGGGTGAAGGCAGATGCACTCAATGTCGGGCTGGGCAAGGATCGGTGAAGAGTTAAAGAGGTGCGAGCGTCCGGGGTACTAGTCCTAGAGAACGAGAAGGGCGAGACGGTGAAAGATCATGCCAGCAACGTGGCATGAGCCGGCCGCAACGGGACTCAGTATGAGGGTCCTATGACACGAGCTCAGACAGCGCACGCTCGAGCACAGGAGGGGGCATGGGGCTGAGTGCAATCACGAAAAGAAGGCTGCACATATGAGGAAAGGCAGGAGAAGGGAACATCCCACAGACAGAGGAGGAACCCAGGTGAGCATAAGGTGAAGGGCGGTAGGGGCAGGAAGGAGTTTCCGACAGCTGTCACAGAAATAGCAGAATGATCCACCATTTAAAGTGATAATAAGATGTATGGTGATAATAAGATGTATCACAGGAGGGACTGAAGGAGTAAAGTGATAATAAGATGTATGGTGTGCATTAATGTATTGTACGCATGTGTACTATATGAAGAATATCGAGGTTTGGGGAAAGTAGGTGGTGAGTAGGTGGGGAGGTTTCGAGGGTGTAGTAGTAGGGACGACGGAGGTGGCGGATGAAATTCGACGGGCCAATGGGAAGCAGGGGGAAACGCGGCTTGAAGACGCACATTGAGAAATGTGCAGCTCGCCTAAGCGGTCCCCTTTTGGGTGAGGGTTGGGGGGTGTGTCATTCTTGCTTCAATTGTATTGTTCTTTCAACCATAGTGGATTTCAGGGACCTCAGGCCTTCTGCTATGTGACCTTGCCACTAAGAAAGGACAGAGCATGTAGAAGGGAACTTTTCTACAATACAACAAAAGGGTCTGTGGACGCGAATGATGGCCGGTCATGAGCTGCATTCGGGAAGGCGCTATCCTCCTCGAGGGGACGAGAGGGGGAGATATGAAGAATCAGATTTGTCAGAAGATGAGAGCTGCGGCCGTTATGCGGATCGCGCCGGTGGAAGACCTACATGGCGTGCAGGCCGAGTGAGCCCTCCACCAGATCCAGATCTGGGCCGCATCGCCGCAGAGGGCCAGGCGCGGAAGGAGTGGACGAAGCTCTGCAGAGCGGAGAGCACCCGACTGGGACACAACAAGGAGATGCGGCATACGCGAGTCGACGGAGTGACACATGGCGGACGACAGGAGGAGCCGATTCGGCATCAGCGGCTGGACGCCAGAAGCGCGGGCAAGAAGTGAAGGAAACGGAAGAAGATCATAATGAAGCAGGGACAAGCGATCCAATGGCGAGGATGGCAGAGAAAGAAGGCGATCCTGCTGCATCAGGGTCGCGAGGACGAGGCGTCAAGGAATCAGGAGAGGGCAGCAACGTTGCGGCGTCTCATGTGCGGAAAGAAGGGCGAAGAGTGCGGACAGCCGAGAGCTCAGAGGACGAACCGCCACAACGGCATGAAACAAGGAAGGTCCGAGAAGCAACAGGGAGCTGCTCGCCAGCACGACGAGAAGAAAGTGGGGGCCGATTGGGGCGACGGGAGCAGGCGCACGTCAGTGATGAACGAGAACGTGCACGCCAGCCAGATCGGGGGCGCACGAGCGGGAGAAGGGAGGAGCTACATCGTCGATGGGGTGAAATAGGCTCCACGACAGATGAAGACCGGGAGGAGAGTAGTGGCGAGGAGGAGAACCATCTGGCGGGACCAGCCAGAAGGCGGAAGGAAGATGCGGCAGATCGGCGTGACTAGCTGCGAAGAAGGGACGATTCACGATGGGAGAGGAGGCGCAGCCCTGAATGCAATGTGGATATGCGTGATCACATGCGCGATGAAGGGCGGATCAGGATGCGACGCAATGGGATAGAGCGGGACCCAGATTCCGACATCGGATCCCTATGGGAGGAGCGGTACTACGGTGGCAGAGAGGAGCGAAAGAGGAGCGGGAGACGCCATGAGCGAATTCGCCGCGAGGAGCGCGATTGGAGTGGAGGAGACGAAGACAGATACTGGGGGTAATCGTCACGTGGCAGCTGGGAGAGCAGTCATGGACGGACAGGAGGAGTGCCGCGGGTGGAGGTACCAACACGATTCACGGCCGATCCGAACATGGGAACATCGCTAAAGAATTATCTGATGCAGATCGGCAACGTCAAGTACCGGTGTGATCGAGAAGGCATGCATCCCAACACTCTCCAACACCTTGGCGGGAGAGGGGGAGTTGGTACGAAATGCGAATGGATGAGTTTGTGCGACGCGCCAGGAGGGATGGAAGTGACCCGATGCCAATCTTCTCGCAAAGATTGAAGAGGCACTTCCCTGGGCACACGACAAACCGAGTAAAGGAGTTTCATGAATTGCGAAGGGGTCGGATTGAATCGGTGCTGAGCTACTACACGAGGATGACGGGGCTGGTGGA